AAAATTACGCGTTTCTACACGTGATAGCTAACATATGCTCTTGTCTCTTACCCTCTTACCTTGCTTGTGTCTCAATCCCTCGTAAAAATCAAAACACCAACAACCTCACCAAAGCAAGGCTTGAAAGGAGTGGAATGCCGTGATGCTTTGCTGTCCTCTGCGACTGTGAACATTGTTTTTTCTGCTGCTTGTCCATCCAGCCTATGGAATTCGTCAAAGCAGGCCCAACACCCGAAACCAACATCACCTTGGTGCATTCGTTCTCGTTGTATTCCCATATGTTGGTACGTATTCTTGTAATTCTTGTTTTGATTCATCGGGCCTAGTTTGGTGCTTTGGAAGTGAGTTGCTCACCTCTGTCATCCATTGCTAGAAGGATATCAACAACCGGTGATTTGGTCAATTGGTCATTGGTTTGTCGATGACGAGCTTTGAAGTTTGAATTTGCGGATTTAGATTCTTTGCTGTACCAGATGGTGGAACTTGGAACACACGTGAAACAGCGGTACCCTTAGATGACCCAACACGCTCGCGTGTTGCTCACATCTACAATCTCTTCCTCACCCACAATCAGCGCTATAGACTGTTATGTGAAGGCATTGAACTGTGTCCGTCTAGCGCAAGATAAGGATGGTAATGATGTCGTGTCGTAAGCAACACATCTCCGTGAACACTTAGTTATTTGTTATTCTTCCTAATCTCCTTTGTTCGCACCTACAGCCCTTCACATTGGCTTCTCGGGAAACATAATTCGACGTCAAACGCCACGGAGGGCGGTATTCGCATTCTGGTTTACCACAGAACGTGAAACTCCCGGTCCTGTATTCGGATACAAGGATGAACGAACCTGATTTCTTCTTTCGACACGCATTCACGTGGGAGACATCATCATACGTTCCCGTACGTGTGGGATTATGAATAATGACACACGAAAATACCGTGTATTACATGCAACATCTGCTTCTCCATCGGGAACTGGAGTGATGAATTTGGGATTTGTGTTGCTGTCATCGACGTCGCTTGCCTGCTTGCTGGCTTGTATGTTGCTTTGGGTTCAAGCAAGTCACAGACAAAATGTAGGGATGACACCGTTAGTAGTAAATATAGGTAGTAGTAAGATGTAATATTATGAAGTCTGAAAACAAGTAGTAGATAAAGTGATTTTCAATCTGAAGAATGCGTTTGGTCTAACCGTGACAAATTCAGTTGAGACACGTTCAAAAACAGAGATCAAGCCTCGGAACACGTTCCAAATACGTTGTCGAGGGTTCTCGGTTTACGATTGATCAAGACCATCCAAGTTATTGATTCTTTTGTTGTTTGTCAGCAGCATCGCTGAAAGCTCCAAGTCACCGAAAACAAACAAAACTTGGAATTGGAGATAGATCACCGAGGTCTTGTGGCAAGCAAAGGACAATATAGCCAAGATCCATCATCGAATGGGACTAGTTCCATTCTTCAAAGCACTCTAGACACACTGCCAGCTCATAACTGAGCCAGTGCCCGTGACAACTTAATACCACGCCGAACAAAGTTTTTTATACGAGAACTGGTCTCGAGTGGAGGCAAAGTAGCCAGCTATGAAGCCCAAGAGAGCCTCGACTAGATCATCCAAAAAATGGCTGGAAGAGGAAGAGGTGAAACAGGAGTATGATTCCTTCGACGACGACTATGAAGAAGACGATCCGTACTTCGAACCACCAAAAAAGCAAAGGAGGAAGGGCAATAATGCTTCTGCCACTTATGGAAACGATTCCAAGAAACAATCTAGTGGTTACAATGAGTACATGCAGTCTCAACTGGCATCGGCTGAAGACATGCTCCGAAATATCCTAAAGGATTCCTACGAAGACAGGTTATCAAAGCTGAGGAAGGAGACTCTTTTACTGGAAAGTAACAGCAATGGAAACTCTCCGATCGCTTCTCCAAAGAGATCCAAGAAGGTATTAGGAAATGCTAGCGCCACACAGCCCAAACAGTTACAACACCAACTGCTATATGTAAACCAAACATCCATACCGCTACCCGTTATAACCAATCCGAAATGGTCGTCAGATTCTATAAAACAGACTGGTCAATCCATGATCAACGAGTATGGACTATTGGCCTGTCCCACAAGGCTGCCAACAACAACAACAAACCACTACCTCAGTGTCCAAGACACTCGTCATGTAGTAGCAAAAAGGCACTCTATAATACGCGAACTGACGACATCTCCATCATCAACAAACGACACGGTATCGCCACGGAGACAATCACTCGTAAACGTTGAAACATCCATACCAGCTCCACCTGTAACATGGCCCGTAGAACAGTTTATATCAGACGAAATACCAGACGACGCCACATCAGACCGGCTCCCACACCCATTATGTCTATTACAACCCATAACAATCATGACTCTTGTCAAACGATTCTTTACGGCGACGTATGTCCAATCCCCACTAAGTTTCCTGCATCCTCCGTCGTGGGCTACATGGCAAGATATAATTAAGAAGCCAGATTTACTATTATTAAGTGTGTGTCTTATGGGATCTCGATTCTGCACTTTGCCGGATCTGGAAAATATCGTCAATGAGGAGTCGTTGCCTCATTTTATTTCGGGTTATGATCGAGCTGCTGAAACTATATTTGAGGTTGTCAGGAAACGATTGTTTGGACATGGATGGGAGATTATGGAGAATATATCGCTAGAGTTATGTGAAGCTATGCTTCTTTTCGCACAGTATACGGGTGGTGAGTTGAATGAATGTGTTGATGCAACATTCGCTACGCGTATATGTGACTTTTCTGCTCACATCAACTCACGCCTTTCTCTTTCCTTGTCTGTAGATGTTGGATACCGATCATCATTCTCATGGTTGGTATTCGGAATGTCATTTAACTGCTGCCTACACATCAATTTACAAGTAGATCCAGATTGTCGGGCCTTCCATGGTAGAAAGTTTACATGGTTCGAAGCAGAACGAAGGAGACGCGTGTGGTGGGCTGCCTCTCAGTAAGTTTTTGTTGTTTGAGCAAATATTCAATATGAATGGAATCTCACAACAAACAAAAAACCATTTCGCAATTCATAGCAAAGACAAGCACGTCTCTGCCATCTGTGGTCGTCCACTACACATGCCATCAACCCATTCAGTAATACTACCAGCCCCAGAACACGTCTGGCTATCCGTAACTGAGGCCAACCCAACACCGACACCGCTACCGACTGAACTAGAATGCCGACTAGATCCCGTATTTAACTCTCATAAACTCCATCAACTATTCGCCCTAGTATTTGAACGGGATCCAACTTTCTCATCCAACGACACAATGTTATATAAAACTCTACCATCCGAACTCTCAGATACAACCGTCGAGTGGATTGGAATAGACGATTCTAAAGGTGTCAGACAATTATCATCAGCACTATCATTATGGCTACATAACTTGCCACCAGTATTATTAACTGCGATGGACGCACAAGAGTTTACCACCTCGCTCGTATATGCTCCAACAGTAGACAACCCAAACCCACCAATCCCATATATGATGTTATTCCTCCACATGCTGCATAGAGGATGTATAATACTCCTACATCGAGACGCAGCACTAAAAGCCGTCCAGGAATCCCCACAGAATGCCCGCTACGATCCAACACTCTCCGCATCCATAACAGCAGCTAAAGAAGTCGCACACATGGTATCGAAAGCTATAAACTCGGAAGTCCTCTACGATTTCGGGGATGTACCGGCTGGGATTGCCGTCATGCCCGCATGGATGACGTTTGTGTTGCTGCAATGCTCTATGACCATGTTGATTGCATTGACACTACCACACTCGTTTAATCGGGATGATTTGGTTGCCTTCAAGACTATGGAGAAGGCACTTGCGTTGTTGGCGCCTAGGATTTATGTAGCGCAGAGTGCTCCACATGCCTTTAACGCTATTGTAGCATCTGCTAGTCCGGAATTGAGAGCATTGTTGGATGCTGGTGCTGACATGTAGTACTGGGTAGTTAGGTTAGCTTTTAGTAGTAGGATCAGTATTAGGGTCTTGTGGGTCAGAAGTCTTTAGCTGTGAGGAGATATAGTGATTCTTTGCTGCTGTTGAGGAAAGATAAAAAACCACATGTAGTATAGTCAAAAACAACAGAAACTCGCTTAATTTTTTGTGACGGGCAAAAATCTCAAAAGAAATATAAGATGTATTATTTTCAACATCATGTTCACATAAGCAATCCCGTCTTCACTTTCATAGTACCGAATGAGTGTGGAACTTGTACTGCACCTCGATGGGCATTGTTTGCGTATTCAGCTGGATCAGACTTTGTTTGAGGGATTGATGCTCAGTTCATCCTACAACAAAGAGAAGATACGAGACCACGCCTTATAAGGCGTGGTCTTGTTAAGAGAGATCGAGATTTAGCCCTCCGACTTGACGACAATGCAAGCAAATGCGATTGGTAGTTACCAAATGCCTCGGAGCGAGTGAAGGGTTTCAACCTCAAATTCATCACACAGGTACTGTTTACCGGGTTTTCTTGTTTAATTTATTCGCCACACTCCAGCACCACAGTTACCCTTGTACTGCATTTCCGTCAGCCATGTATAGTTATCGAGTATGTAGTCGGCTGTGTTCGTTTGTAGCGTTTAAGGAAAAAGATTATGATTGAGTCAAAAATGACGGGGTTGTTGAGGAATTGAAATAACAATTGTAACTTGCATAGGAGCGTCTCTTTCGGGTTTTTTTTGCCTTACCATGAATTGATTAGTTGCTCCAGTCCGCGCTCCAGTTTACATAGTTCCATGGGCATGGATCCTCCGTTCTGACGGCACTTCCATGTTCCTAAATGTAAAGGCAAAAAATGGGGCTTGTGGTAACAGTTCGAATCTTTGCAAATCTGAAAGATATGATGTCCTTGATCAATCAACATGCATTGTGCCAAATTGTGAGATAAAAAACATTGCCTCAAAGAAACAAGATATTTATTTCTTCTCCCCTCTTGAAACATGGTTTTAGAAGTCATGATCCGATAAATCATCTTCATCATCCAGTCCATCTTCATCACTGCCGTCATCATCTAATAGTCCCATAGAGGGCGGAACTTGTTTTGCACCTGGTCGTGCAGTGCCAGTAGTTAAACGATTGTCTGCGTAATCGTCTTGATCGTCCTCGTCTGAAGAGTTAATGTCGAGCTCATCCTATAAGACGGTAGTGAGTTGTCAAAAACGGTGTCAAAACAACTTATTTGAGTAATCTCGCAAAGAGTGGAGGAATTTTTTAGCTACCCGTCAATCGCAAACAGTGTTTGTTTCTTACTTCGTCCAACCCATATTCATCAAACCCATGAGAGGAAGGAGCACCAGCAACTGCTATACTACGAGCAGACCGTGTAGGTGCCGCACCTTTTCAAGGAAAAAAATTTGGTGAAAATACATCCCACAACAAAAAAACTAAAGGTTCAAATGGATAAAGGTAAATTCGTTGCCCGCGCTGTCTTGTTCACCTTTCGGTCTATGAGCCCTCGAAGCAGCAGATATCTGAGGGGACGCATAACTTCCATTATGCGACAGATTAGGAGATGCCTTGTTGCCCACACCAGCATTTCCACCTCCTCCAGTTCCAGCACTACTGCTCCCCACTTCATAATCATCATCCAGTATTTCTCCATCACCTCGCAGTAATCGGACTTCTTCTTCTTGAAGTCTCATTTGCATAAGTTTGAGATTTGTTTCTGTTTCCTGTGTGTTGCAAGAAAACACAGTTGGGCGATGGCAAAAAAGAAGCGGCAGGAGCCCTTGCTATGACATTTGTCAAAAATCAAACCGCATTGCTTACCTGGAACTTGTCAGCTTCAATACGCTCCAGTTCCTCTAATTGTCGTTCCAAATAAGCCAAATTACAAAACTTGGTCACGTATCCTTCATACAGTCTAGCTAGTTCCATCTCAATCTTTTCATATTCGTCCATATATGCCGGTCTATAAATCGAAATTTGGGATGAGACCGTGAGGAAAAAAACTCATATGCAAACGCCATATGAACAAATCCAACAATTCTTCTCTCACTCTCCCAACGCACACATACCTAACACCCTCTAAACTCTTCAATCTCTTTTCAGCACGATCCAATTCCTGTCGTTTTCGATCGATCTTGGCTTGCAGATTAGTTTCATCCGCACCTAAATTATCTATGGCTTTCTGTGTGGTCTCTAATTCGGCTCGCATGGCAGTAACGGATTCGAGGACTGCAGATTCTAGTGTTTTCATGTCAATGTTTCGGGATACGACTGCTGAGCGTGCGTCCTATCAAATCAGAACGAAAGTGTCAGTGATGCGAGGAAAAAAAATTCAAGTACTAAATCGCCACGATGATTCATTCTTACACGTAGTTCCAGCTCCTTGCCCAACAAATCAAATAATATAGCACCCTTTTCAGTGATTTCTGAAGCGAGTGATCTACATGCTTTTAGTTGAGCGAGTTTGGAGGTTATGTCTGGTGGTGCGTAGACTAGGGAATCCTCCTGTGACAAAGAAAGTCTCGATCAACAACATTACTTACTCGAATCAAGCCAAAGTTTCACGTCAACGTCGCCATAGACATGGCCTAAGTAACTTCTGTGACTTTTTCTTACCTCCTCATCATCATTCGAGCAACTCAAAACAGCTTGATGTATAACCGTAGCAATTTTCAGTAATTCTCGTACTGCATTACCATCAGACATGTATAGTTTTCGAGTGTTTAGTCGGATGTGTGCTTTTGTTGCCTGGAAGACCAACAACGAGGTATTGTATAAAGAGTGTGGTGTTTCCGTGAGAAATGTGCTTTTTAATACAATAACAATCACAACTTTTTTTTGTTGCACTTACCATGAGTTGAGCAACTGCCTTTATAAACATGATCCGATCTTGTTCTGACGATACGTCGTCTGGTATTTCTGCGTTTGCATCGTAGCTAGTTAGATGAGTTAAGTTAGTAATACTTTAATACACTAGGTCAAATGTGATGTCGCAGATCCATTGATCAACGTCCATCACCAAATGTCAAGTGTTGAATACCTTCGCACGAGCCACAAGAGAACATCAGCAACCAATGGAAAATTAGGGGATTTGAAACTGTCCATTGATAATAATCCTGGATATCCGATTACTCGCATCTTTTCCGTAAAACCTATTCAACATATAAGTGTGTTTTAATATGTCGCTTGTTCTTTGTCTTTTTCGGATTCATGCGGTTGGCAGAGAGTTCCATGTACACTATGGACTTACTACGTAGTTCTCGATACGACATGATGCTGATCCTTGCTGATACAACAGAGGGCGTGTTGATCTGTGTGAAATTGTGAAAAATTGGAACCATGCGAATACGACCCAAGAAAAAGATGGGAAAAAGACGCATCCAATGATTTTGATTTTCAATATTCAAATATTCAATGTTTATTACTATGTTTGTACTCTACTATTTTACTCCTGGTGTTTACGCGACCACGAGATCTCAGACGGCAGTTTAACATTTATATGAGCAGGATGTACAGCCTCACGCGTTGTAAACGCGTCTGGAGCAATCCCCTTCTTTTGGTATTCAGACCAGTCGGTCCTACGCGATGACCTTCAAAAAACGTTAGAAACCACTGACATTCAAACAGTGGGAGCCTCTTTCTTGGTCACTTACTGCACTTTCGAAAATATCTGATCCATAGTCAGTCCACCCGGCCCCTTAATCTTTGAAGGGTCCAGAGTAGTTTTACCACCATCAGCACTCTTTGTAACTCCCTTCCGTTCAATCTTGCCCAGCTTCTCCAATGCCAACAAGTGGAGTCTCACTGCACCTGCCATAGACAGACGATCTGATGCGTCCATTAAGCGGAAGGATTCACAGACAGCATCAATGACATGAGCTGTACTTGTCACTTCAGCAGTCACAAACTCGTAAATCTTGTTACGTAGTTGTGTTTGCCGTTGCTTGGCCTCTGATATATGAGATGGGCCATCTATAACTATGTCAGTGCCATGTGACGGGTATAATATACGATGTCCTAGCCTGTCTATAACGTCTAATGAAGCTAGGTACTTGTTTACATCCTCGTAGAGATACGGCACTGGTGATAACGGGGTGTTGTTATATATGGCATCACCTACAAACACACTCCCTTCATCCTTCAGCACGAGGACACAATGATCCGACGCATGTCCTGGTGTTGCAATGACTTGAAGAGTCGTCTTGCCATCACTCGTCGTCACAATATCTAGATGCTTGACAAATTTAAGCGTCGAGTCGGATGATGCCGAAGCATTGGTATTGCTGCTAGTAGAATCACCATCAGATTTCAGCTTAAATATTTTTAGGTTTGGAATGGCTTTATGTATTGATGTGAGTCCGTTTGAGTGGTTTCCGTGTCCATGAGTTAGCACAATCGCGTCCACTTTCAGGTTGTTGCGAGACAGATGATCGAGGAGCGTCGGTGTATATGATGGATGACCTGTTCCTGCGTCTACAAGAATCTTTTGCCACACACCAAGACCGACGAGGTAACTGTTTGTTGGCTGTCGTGAATGTGGACCTGATGGCGGTGATATGATGCGCGTGACACGTGGAGTGAGCTTCTGTACAACCGTACTAGTAGTAGTTGAATTGGTAGTATTGGATGTCGTAGATTTGATTACTCTGTCTTGAAGCACTAAAAGTGGATGTTGATGATGTTAGCTATCATGTGAATTGGTCCAACTAGACCTTTATACTAGATTCGATTACCACTAGTCTGATGCATGGATCTGCATTTCATGCACACATTTTTATTCACACGACCAAGTCTCATCAAGAATTGATTCCTCATCTTCTACTTTGTTTTTGAGCTCAAGACCAGGAGCTTGCTCTCCTAATGGATGGAATGAGCTCTAAAAGAATTTATATGGCCAACAAAATGTTTCCTATGACGATTAACGTGTCATCAACTCAAGATCAGTAACATTAAACTCGGGAATCGCAAACACATCGTCAACTGTGCACCTGTATTCAAGTCCACAAGATGGAATTGTTTGATCGGAGTCGGCATCTTTTTGGCACGTGGAAATTATTTAAGCTTTTTCCTTCGCAGGGTCATCCTCCTCTTGCTACGTGCTTCACAAGACACATGTGTTGTGCACTGTGTGTAGTTTTGCAGTGGCAACTACACGTGTCAAATCAGTATTTATCATTGTGGATATCGCAACGAGTTTCCCCACGTGTCCCCACGCAATTATTCGTTAGTCCGGTCGTAACATATTCAAACCTTGCACCAAATTACACTGTCAAACATCACCCGAATGCCGCCAGGCAACTTGTGCCTGAAAATCACCATAAAAATCCCCGTGAATCCTACAGTTACCCTGGCACTGAAACTCGTACCCTACGAGGATAGCGAGGGGCATTCCAAACTACCGAACTAATACATCATACGAATCATACAAATTGCTCGAATCTCCGGAAATTTTGCGAAAAAACCATATTGAGTCAAAACAAAGTCACTTATTGTTTGCCGAACGCTACACACTGAGAAGCCGATCGTGTCCTAAAACGTTTAATTCTATGAGTTTTTAACGACCATGGAGTATATTGCAGCCAGCAACACGCTGCAATACCCCTCGTCAGGGAGAGCGAGGCAATCTAGTAAAGTCGATGTGAAAAAACCTATGTCGTGGATGGAACGAATGCAGCCTTCGAATTGGAGGATTCCGTTGTGGGTTTTATTAATGTGTACGTATCAGACAATCACAATTCATTGCGTTTGTTTGCATTCTCCAACATCCAAGATCTAAACCCAACTTCCAAATCCTTAGCATGGAAGGCCGTCTTCACTGGCGCTTTAGCACTAGTCATTGGTCTCCTAATGAGAGAAGCTACAGCCGTTTCAGAAGATTTAGGTTCTCATCTCGCAGATGCAGCAATGAAAAGTGCCTACTTGTCAATCGACGGCATTATGGGTAGTATTGAGGACTCTATGATTACAATGACTGAGAATTCACTCGTGAATTCACTGGTTAATTTGGATCCCAATGTGCAAAACACAGGAATCAGTTCCATTGACATGAGTACTCATAATGATGTATTGGGTGGGCCATTATATTCATCGTGCTATCCATATTCGCAATGTGCTGCAACAGGGCTATCGATTGGAGATATCTCGTTTATGGGATATAATCGATTGGGGGCAGCGATTAGCGCTCCTGATATATGTAAGTTGTCTTTCTTGTTGTTTCGACATCAAAAGGGTCACGACGCTAAAAATTATATTTCCTCCATTTTCTGATGATCACAGTTTATCTGCAAGACAACAGCACATACTATGACCCAGTTTCCCCTGGTCGCAAGTTGTACACGAGGGCCATGAATTCCAATTACAATGCGATCATCAACTCGTCATTATTTTTGCAGACCAAAAAACTAGATGCAGTCTCAAATACATCTGCTGTATTGCTCTCACAAGGGTGGTTGAACTTCAAGACTGTAGGTATTTCTTATCGGATAAACCGTTGTTTGACCTGATATATATAAAGTTCAGCTATATGACTATCACTCCCTTAACTCAATCGCTGGTTCGTCTACTTAGGTTCCGTTTTGGGGCTCGAATGTAACGCCTATACAGAAGACTTTTGCACCTGATGCGGTTACCTTTACAAGTTATCTATTCTATTATCGGGTTGGCTGGTATGGATTGCCTTACAACCAAAGCAACAGTGGTCATTGGTAAATGGCAATATTTGAACATCTTTTCTCTGCATTATTTTGTTTGCTTCTGACATAAGGTACCTTTTTAAGGAATCACGCTGCATGGATGGCTATATCGGTACCAGGATTCGAATCCGAGCTATCTGGTATGTTTCCAATTAAATTCAAGTCTTGTGGACCCAGAGGATCAAATTCTAACTTTCGTCAATTTTTCTCAGGATTGAATCCCTCAACCAATGGACTGATCTATATCATGAATTCTGATGGACTCATGAGTAAGAGCACAACGAAACCTCTATCTTCTGCCATGATCAGGCCAACTGACATCAAAATCTTTTACCTGTAGTTTCCTCATCAACACCAAATATCAGTCAGATTGGACTCACAGACGCCCAATACTCAGCGTGCAGCAGTCCTAACGATGTCGTTGCATCATCATGCAAGTTCCTAGTTTCCACATATGGAAATATTTCAGCAATCCCCAATCTCTCACCTCCGTTATTTGCAAACACTGCATCGGGACAGCACTTAGTATCTGCTAGATGGATGCTTAGGAGTAATGTCGCGTAAGTGCAATTTTTGAGGCTTGGGCCTTTTTCTTCTGTCTGCTGCTCTGCTATCCGACAGAAAAGCAGCTATATTGCTATGTAGCTAAACATATCGTCACTTTGACAAACCTTAGATGGGTAATCGTATCATGCATCCCAAGATCCGACATATATGCTGGAATCGACGCAACAACATCTTCCGTTATAATAGCTACCGTCATGATTGGAGTTGTGGGAGGGTGTGTCTCCGCGGCTCTCTTCACGTTTGCAATTACCAAACCGTTATTTACGTTAAAAAAATTGATGGAGGATGCACGACACTTGGATTTCAACCGTCTGTCAAAGACTCTAATGCTTAAACAGAGCTTAGTTGCTGAGTTGGCGTCTATGCAAGGTATGAGAAAGTTGGGGAAAATATCCTGAAGTCGAAGTGATGCGTGCTTTTTTTTGGTTTGGATTGATGTATCAGGAACTGACCCAAAACGCAAACATGTCTGTTACCAACATATCGCTTTATACTCTCTAGAAACATTCTTCATCATGATTCAAAGGTTCTCTGACGGACTAATCCAACACGCCAGTCTCATGGCTGGATCGAGCGCTCAATTACCACCACCGTCACCTAGAGCACCAAGTACACTCCGATCAGATTCCAGTTTGGCTTTACGTGATGCGACGTTGGCATTTGCACCGCAAATATCAGTGATTGGCGGTACACCTACTGGACCTGTGTCAAGATCACGACAGCACTCGCAATTAATGGATCCATCAAGGATGCCGCAGTCGGTCAAAGAGGAGGATTTAGGGATGATTAAATCTGGCATTATTATTTGAGGAACACGAACGGAAAGCACAACCCGACCTTCCCCTACTCTTTGTCTGCCTTTATTGGAATTGTGAATTATGTTGAAAAGCGGTGCTTTGTGAGCCGATCGAACGGACTTCGAAATCATACAGTATTACAACAAAGGACAGCTCCTGAATCTTTGAACACGAAGAACTCTTTTTCATCCCTCATGCTGTAACATTCCATCTCTCGTCATAAGTGTGTTTGTAAACAAGAAAACGAGTAATACAACAACAAACTTTTCAGTGCTCTACACCGTTTTTCAACGAGGATTAATCATGGTCTAATGTGCGGTGGGCTGTCTTTTCATCCGTCTGACATAATCGTGGGGGGAGTTTGAAATACTCAACGATTGCAATGGCTGAGAATTCGCTGGTGCCGTCGTCAATAGTCAGCTGGGATCGATAGGTGCCGAACAGCATACGGACGTCATGGGAGGCCCATCATATTCAGCATGTTACCCATACTCACAATGTCTTGTGACTGGATTATATGAACGCCCTTTTGGGGTATCATGCTGCTGATCCAAGCTTAGACAAGTTGTCTTTTCAGATATATGAATCACGATTTCAAAACAGGTATGCACTCCTTCTGTGAATCATTCAACCTATGGCTTTACTTTTGTATTATGAGTTCTGATGGAGGTACCAGCTACACTCTGTTGGATGCCAGTTTGGGTTTTCGTGACATGAGACTGGCACTACCCAATCATTTATAGCAGCTGGTTTGTCATTGAATGTTGGAGGTGGAAGTCGTGTCAAGATCACGACAGCATTCTCATCTAAAAAATACCTTGAGAATTCACAGTCAGTCAAGGAGGACTATTTTGGGATGCGCTATGTCCTTTTTTGTCTGCTTCATGTACTGAATCAGGTCGGAATTTGTTTCTTTGCTCAAAATCCTGAACTAGGACAAAAGGGACACTTTAAAATCTTTGAAGGAAGGAGCACTGTTTCCTCTCTCATTTTTATAAGAATTTAATGTCTGATTATACTTCGAGTTTTGTAAACCAATGGAGGAATGATACACAAGGAACATTTCAATGCTCTACATCGTGAATGCAGCGACTTCAACACGTAAAATATGGTTTGAAATCTTTACAAGAGTTTGACGTCTCCTACCCTGTTCGTTTTTTCGCTGGATTTTGAATGAGCGAAATTGGCGTCGCATCGTCATGTCGTTACGTTCTAATAATTCACAATACAATATTCTCATCTCGTCCTCGATTGCAACTTGTTTATTTTTAAAACCTGCTCGTTCTCGTCGCTTTACACATTTTCGCTCACAGTGACATACAAATAAGCAAGATGTTTGCCATCCGTCGCAACGTAGTGCCAGTCAGTTTCCGATACATCAAGTCGGCAACTGCTGCTCGAGTATTGGCTGTTAGAAAAGGCAAGTTCGTTGTATAGTGATATGTTATGAAAAACAGCTTTTTTTGGTCCTAGCAGGTTAGAGAGGAGAACAGAGGATAGGAAGTACAGGGATATAAGAATGAGTGAAAGCAGGAGATTAAACTCATTGGCATTATGGATTTGGGATGCAGTTTTATGATGTATGAACCAAACATTCACGTTAGTCGGAGCTCAACATTTCAAGACAACAGAGGACAAGATGCAGCATGAAAGGACATATGAAGAAGGAAGAATTATTTATTTTACAAGCACAATCATCAAGGCCTGGCCAACCACTCCTCTCTTCCTTCATCTATGACCAAAAAAACTGCACCAACTCATAATATCCTGCACTCGAACTAACTACCCTTCCCCCCTCACAAACAGCCCACGACTCGCACGCACCCTCCAAGCACGAGCAAACCACAACAACCCCTCAAATCCCCGGTTACAGAGCTCCCGGTGAGGTCGCCACCAACTGGGAACTAGCTACGGGCACAGAACGTTACGAATACATGGCTCGTCTCGCCGGTCAAGATCCTTGGGAGGATTTACATCCAATTGTGCAAACCAGTATGGGAACAAAGGCGAATCCGGTTGTTGTCAAGGGCGTTGATCCTGAGAGATATATTGGATGTACTGGTGAGTCATCGATTGTTTGATATGGGATGTGTAAAGGAATGAAATTGAATGGAGGAGTGCTCCACTCGTGCATTCAAAGATGCGATTGTACGACATACCACATCAATCATTTTCTTTTGTGCTCGCCGTCTGTGGAGGAGGACGTTAGTCGGGATGGATTGTGTCGAGGGAATTTTGAATTTACGAGTGCAGCAGGCGTATCCAGAGAGGACATTAGTTGACCTCCGTTCATGTTCTTTTTTTCGCTCACCAGCATAGCATTCAATCTTTCCTTGATCCAACCACGTTATATTTTAATAGGTTTCCCTGCTGACTCTCACGAAGTCATCTGGCTCACCGTCAAACCTGGAAAGCACTTTGACAGATGTCCACACTGTGGGAATGTGTTTAAATACGGTACGTAACCAGCTTGTGTCAATCATCCCATTTGTCTGGGATTTCAGGTAACCAACATCCTGTTTTTTTCTCACCACACAGTCCAAGAACACGCTCACCATTAAACAATGGAATTGAAACAAGAGTCGAGAAGGAAGATACAATCTCCATTATTATAAAATGCAAAACAACCAGAAAAAACTAGTGCTGTTGTAAGAAGATGGTAGCAAAATACAACTATTAAGATGGAATACGTTCAAACGTGGCAAACAAACGCGATGATTACTGATCACCATATCCAAGTCCGAATAGCCCAAGTTCAAATACCTCTATATACACTTCCCCAATGGCTACTACTACAACTTCAACAATAGCTATGCGCAAACTTCAATACAAAAAAACCACCCATGCTGGTCTTCAACCAAAGATTCAAATTGAATATCTATGTACACCACTACTACCCCCGTTCATTCATTATTCGTCAACCCACTCTTATCACTCTCAGCCAACGCAGTATATATAAGAGTCCTCATCTGAGCAAACAGAGTGCGGTCACGCACAATCCTCCCAATATTCTTGACCGCCTCATCAGCACTTATCTGCGATGAGTTAAACGATGCGACGTTAGACGCAAACTCTTCAAATTCCGATGGCAGTAGTGCGTCTCGGATGTGTTTGTATAGTGTTGGTGCGTCGATATATGAGGGCCCTGATGGTGGTGATGAGAGGGTTGAGTGTGGTGGTTTGGATGGTGTGGTTGTATGTTTTGATGTTGATGGTTTTGTTAGAGATGAGGGAGTATGATGGGGCATTGCATTGTTGTTGTTGTCATCGTCGTCGTCATTGTTTGGTGTGCTGGTTGATGGTGGTTTTGTGAATGTTTCTGGTGTTGCGACGCGATCGGGAGTTGATTTCTACCATTGAGTTTGGTCAAAGAGGGTTCAAGAAAGACTGTGGAGTTACTGGCAAAAAATCAAGGGATCACGCGTCCTCATACCTGTAACTTTTCAGATCTCTTCCCAGGTGTATACTGCTTGCCAGGCGTATCTCCTACTTCACGCCAATCCACTGGTATCCTGGGCGGTAGTTTTGAGGTGGTATACGATTTCAGTATAGAAGGTGGTGGTAACTGCGGTGTTGGAGACGATCTAGCCTTATTGCCGCTGCTGTTGGTATTTAAATTATTCGATCGTGGAGTTGTAGTTGCTGATTTTGGTGGTTTGTCACTATACTCGGCGCTCTAATACCAATGGAGTTGGGTTGACAAGTCAACAAAAATACCCCCAACGTCTGAATCAACACAGGCTGATTTACCAAATCAAAAGATCTCATTGTCTGATCCTGTAAGAATGATACATGATCTGCATCTATCTGTGATCCAGCAGGAGAATATGACTTTTGGTGTTGCAGCACCTCGTTTTCTTCGATGCCAGCTTCAGTGAAAGAGCGGTCTAGTCCATCCACAGTCAAGACTGGACCGTATTCGACCATGGACACGATTGACTAGTGAGTAGGGTGATTAGAGAGTGGTGTTAATATGGAGCAAGATGAATAGTCCAGCGACAAAAAGGACACGTGGTTCTCCGTCATGGCATTTCCCAATTTAGCATATAATGACCTTTCTGAATGACTCCAACTGACTAGCAGATCTCTTCAGCGCCTGATACCGATCCTGTATGGTATTCTTTGCCAGAGCAAGAGCCTTCTTTTCAGACACTTGTTGAGCTAGACTACGTTGCAATTCATCATTTTTGCGTTCTAGGTCTGCGATTATCCGATCCTTTGCGGATACTTCTGCTTCTAATGCATGGATCTACGAGGGCGAGAGTGTGAGTGTTTTGATTGTGCGAATGCAGTGAATATGATAACTGGGTTTAAGCATGCAGCAGGCAATATTGGAATTCCCCGTACTTGTTGTCGTTGATTAGAAGCAGCAGCCTTCCATTGAGCAAGCTCTGAGGACAAGTGAGTAGCACGGTACTCGTATGCTTCTTGGATCAATTGGAGACCAGTTTTGAGCTATTGTATGAAATCTCAGTTCGACTAATGGTTTTTCAACAAAAAAGCAACAGTCACATATACGCAGTGACACGGCACCTTGATGTCAGCATCTGTCTCTCCATGCTGCCTTGATGAGCCCGTACTGGCATTGAGTTTAGCAGAGCCGTTTGAGCTCAGGATTGAATTTAATAGTAGTCCGTCAGCGTCGTTGGCCGTGGTGCGTCTTGATGGTGATGTTATTGGCATGTTATGTATAGCTCTAATGCGATACAATAAAACGGTGAGCGAAGCTTCTTGATGGTAGATCCAACCAATACCAAGAGACGCTATGTCAGTTCTTGTGCTATATTGACATTGATTTAAACAATGATGCACGTACCAGGGTGACCTGTACTTGATCCACCAACGATCAGATGAAATCCAATGCTTCCTTCTGTTTGGTTGTTGTTGCAACAGCATGCCACGACAAGAGAGACAAGAGAGTGACCGCTTGCGTATCAATTGAGCTCCAATATTTATTCTCATTATTCATACACGCTCTGCACACGTGCATCGCGTCAAATACTCACATTTCGTCTGTCTCAATTCCAACACACATTTACAACGAATTACACATATACACCTAGATCATCATGGCACCAACAGCCACCAGACTGCCTGCTCAGGCCGCAAGAGCAATGCAAGCTGTCAGTCCCGTGCAGGGTGTCGTAGATGATTGGACTAACTGGGAAAGGTAATCCGAATTGTGAACTGCAATCTTTCTTCCTGTTGAATTGCATCAAACACTAATTGTTTGCGTATTTTACTACCTTAAATATCACTAAATTTAATACTCTAATCTCACTCAGGTTCCGGGAAAAGGTGGTTCAATACAGCATCACGACTCTAGATGCTGCATTATGGACTTGCATAAACACAACTGTCTTGTTCATCATGGCGTTTGTTGGCGTCGTTTCCTACTTGTTTATCGGTATGTCCAGTGAATCTTGCTATTATACGTGTTGCATCTATCCTGCATCTGTTCATTACAGATCTTGGCCTCTTCATCACATTATTTTTGGCCTCAAAACTCTCAAGACTCACACACACAAAACACCACAGAACCAATCATCAAAACCTTCGCCCCATACTTTACAAAACCATTCAAATTCCAAAAGGGATCCACAACCGTCGCAATTCAGCCTTCTCTCATATCGTCATCAACCCCAGACTTTTTCCCTGCTTATACCAGATACTTGTCGTCGGGCGGTTGGGAAACTCTAGGTCCCAAACTGGCTGATGCTAGAAATATGAATGAACCGGTTTGGGATGGTGATGTGGCTAGATTCATGATACATCTGAGTGCATTGAGTTATGAGCATCCTGATGTTGTTGGTAAGTGCTGAATGAGATTTTGTTTGCGGGCAGAACAAAAAACGACATATGAAGCTGGCCGTATGACATACTCGTACCAAGGGCTACCTCAAATCCTCACAAATACTCACACCAACACGCTCAAATATAGTCAACTTTGCTACCCAATGGCGCCTCGAAACAGTCAAAATCCTCCGCAAATCATTCGCATGCCACATCTTCTACTCGTCCCAATACAAATTCGCAACTGTCTGCTTCAAGGGCACATCCCCCTTCGACCTCTCCGAAGTCCTCACAGACCTAATGATGATGAAGGTCCGTCCAGACGGCGGCGTCATCCCAGGCCAAGTCCACGAGGGATTTTATAATACCTTCCAGTGGGATTCACCAACCAGGAAGGATGAAGCGTGGGCACGTAAACATCAGTGTGAGGTGGATGCCATATTTAATTTGTTGAGGTCGACGGTTATCACGAGGCTGGGAAGTGGGGCTAGTATTTGGGTTACGGGACATTCGTTGGGAGGGGCACTGGCCACTGTGTTTTTGTCGCATATGACGTATTTGGCACAGAGTCCGTTGACTAACTCTGCGAGGTTGAGGGCTGCGTATGTTTTTGGATCGCCAAGAGTAAGTTGTGGTGGTGGTTGATATGATGATTTCATTATTGAGTGGTTTCAGTTCTATTGCCACAGATGGAAAAATTCCATCTGTGGATGTCACAACTATAAGGGTTGACTCTTACCAATTGCTGCATCGTTAGGTTGGAGACTCTACATTCGCAAATATTACAAATGCGTCAGTGGCTGCTTCTAAAGCAACATGCTTCCGTATTGGTACGAGCCCAGCAAAAAAAACGCTTTCTCTACATCGATATATTGCAACGTGTCTCACATACAGTTTCTCTCCCCCTCATCTACCAATCCATCAGTAAACGCAAACGATCTAGTCCCAACCCTCCCGCTCTCATCAAACATACCCTTCTCAACATACAAATACGCACAAGCTGTATCCCACGGCAAATCGCCCAACATGGTAACCGATTTCGAGCACGTTGGAACTCCTGTCCTTGTTGGATACGATGGAATTGTTCGAATGAACGCTGAGCGAAATTGGGCACTAGCTGGTAAAAATGTATTCGGATGGGCCATTGAGTGGCCGAGATTCTTGTTTGATGTTGTGAGACGTCGAGAGACGCTTGCTTCTTTGGTTGGGAGGAATCTTATGGTACGTGTCTGTGTGAGTTGCATATTTGTTTGTTGTTGTGGGTGCTTCCGGACGTTCATCAGACCGATAGTGACCAAAACGGCGACAGTTTTTTGTGGTTGATGAGGATTATTTATTTATATACCGAGGTCAGCTCTAATGACTGATGTACACCCATATTTATATCTCTAGTTATTCCCATACGATCATTCCCCAGCAGAATATAATCGTCATCTAGCTCCCAAGGTCAAGTGATGGACACATGTAGTGTAGTTGTATATGGAGGACCCAAAAAGTTGTGTTATATCCCCTGTTTGTTGATATTGTTGTTGAAAAGGAAGAAGGAGAGTGTGTTAGTTACGATGAGGTGGGAGTTTGTATAAGTGCAAAGAGTGGGTTTGAACAAAATGTATAGTCACGCCGTAGCCAAGCGCTTTTTGCTTCAGCGAATAATATAACATATAGAGAAAAAAATTGTCCAGCTCCATACCAGTTGAGATTCAATTTCCTTCACGATGCTTTCCATACTCTGATCAATATTCACAGTAATCAACTGACTAGCTTCATCACTCGTCGGCACTTCCAGTGTAGCCAGCTGTGACGTGAGCATATTCGCCTACATCGTAAATTTTAAGTAAATTGAGCTGTCATCACCCAAAAAAGAAAACACACCAAAACATGGTTTTTGACATACCTTCATAAAATGCCCCTTCCTGCCCTCAATCCTCCTCCTCAGCACCTCTTCACCCCCTTCCAAATAAACAATAACAAACTTATCAACGCCGTCCTTCAATATATCTCTATACCCTCGCTTCAACGCACTGCATCCAAGCACGACAATGTCTGATGTCTGTTGCTTTACGACAGTGTTTATATGTGTAAGCCATGGGATGCGGTCTGTGTCTGTTAGTGGTATTCCGGAGGACATTTTGGCGAGGTTTGAGGCTGGGTGGTATGTGTCTGCGTCCATGAAGGTTGAGAATGTGGAGGGTTTGGAGGTGTGGTTGGCGTTGAAAGAGTCAGAGAGGAGGGATGCGATGGTTGATTTGCCGGATGATGAAACGCCCATTACGAGGATTAGTTTCATTATTCGTGATGAGGTGGTGTTTGGAATGGGGGTGACAATGTTCAATATCGCTCGTGAGGTATCAAATGTTGAAGAAGGGCAACATGACAACCTAGGCAACAACCAGCACTCGAATGCGACCACTAAACGATGATATTTAAGTCGTGGCTGATGGTTTGGGTCCATAAACTTTGCGTTGAACGAACTTCAGACCTCGCGTTACTAACCCCTTACTAACGATGACAAAGAATGTCTGCTCTAGAAAACGAAGATGTCAAGTATGCAAAGGACGAATATCATTCTGCTTATTTCGAATGACTGATCAGTATCATCAAATTCCATCTTGCAGCATATCTATGAACATAGAATCACAAGTTTAACTTTGGAGCTCCGAAATCAATTTGCCGAACTTTAGTAGCAACTGTCGAGTTGAATTTTTGGGAATTTAAAGCACTCGACAGCTTCTTTACCCTTGAATTAAGACTCGCCAGCCAAGATGTTCTACGCCTACATACCTTCCGTGGGTTACTGTGAACCGCCTTGCCACTTTTACTAGCAATATAGACGAGTATATTCAGCCAGACTATTTAATGGATTCAGTTGCAGCCAAACTTTCAGTCCTCAAAACAACCACAACTTTGATCGAAAAATGAACATCATTCTAAGAGTAATTCTTGCAATCCTGAATGTAATTCTTCAAATGCTCCAGCCCATCTCCCGCAAATGGGAGTATAATATGCGCTACCACGATCTCCTTATCTCTCTGGAACTATCATTGGCTGGATACTTTTCCATCAGTCCTCCAACGCCAACAGTTTCACCATACTACCCAATGGTCGAAGTCAAGATCTGGTCTACCCCCGCCGAATTTCGTTTCGGAGTTCAGATTGAGTATTCATACAATATCAATATCGGTGGAGACTTGTGGCTGACAGTCCATGGAGTGGCATCTGTCCAGCTAATCCACAAAAACGAAGAGTGAGAAATCTAGCAGAGTGAAAAAAACCTCCATAAACTTGTTTGTGCACAATCCAAACCAGAGCGAGGCAACAATAAAATCAAATCTTTTTCTGTTCGTTTCGTTCAAGGTTGTGGGTAGAGCGTGTGTTCGGGTGTACCTTGGTATTCGTTTTCGACGCAAAGCAAAACATTGGCGTTGAATTCTGTTGAACATGAGCCCTGCTACTGCTCTCTTATCGTAAATGAGGCTTGGGTTCAATGCTTCCTACTCTACCACAGCTGCTACCTTTGCTCTTGCCTTCAAATTTTGTTTTGCATTTGTCAGTGTCATTCTCCTTGCTTCACAATGGGCCCCACAAGAACAGCTTGAAAGACGCGAAACTTCATATTTGTGTAAATTCTGTACACATGAAAGTCTGACCAAATGTATTGACGTTTTCTTTTGTACACAATTTGCATAAACAACAAAACACTTCTTGCTTCAACCTTCACATCGACTTCGACCTCTGCCACCTTGACCATCACCACGACTTCCAGTATCAAGCCAAAATGCATATACTTGAGCGCCAGGATCTATCAAATGTTGTAGTGAAGTATGAAATTCATACCGCGAAAGGAAGGCTCAGAAATCGAGTTCCAATGATATACTCACATTCATGTCGCAATTTGATGCATCATCGGTCCGAAATCGTCTCCTTCTTCTCGCTCAGCTTGATTGTTCCTTGCTGCAGATATTCAAAGCGCATGTGGCAGGTGTTTGGATTATAGCTGAAACAAACAAAGCAGCAATCTACCTGAACGAGCTCCACGATTTCGATCGCCTCTTCCTTCACGACCAGGAACCCCACCTCCGTGAGTATCAGCTCGAAATGCAGACACTTGACCGCCAGGATCTATAAAGTGTTGAAGTACCGTTCAACGTTAATAAGTTATAAAATTCTTCTTGCGAAAAAAGTAGAGCCATAACAGTGGTTTGATTCATGGCGTACATTTACGTCAGACCGCATCAATAATCTGATTCATCGTCGGTCCAAGATCCTCTGGTTCGTCTCATTGAGGTCGACTGTTCCTTTCTGCATATTTTCAAAGCTCATGCGTCAGGTACGGCGTTTGAGAAACGATCCAAACAAACAGTTCACCTGTACCAGCTTGACGATCTCGATCGCCTCCTTCTTCACGACCAAGAACCCGACCTCCGTGAGTATCAACTCGGATGCAGATACTTGACCAGGATCTATCAAAATTTTAAACCAAAAGTTATAAGACTCATATCGAAAAAAACCCCCAAATCATCGTGATTTAAGACCTACATTCACGTCGGACAGCAACAATCGATTCGTCGTCGGTCCAAGATCTTCTTGCTGGTCTCGTTGAGGTCGACTGTTCCTTGCCGCATCTATTCAAGTTCATGTAATAAACTTGAGAACACGACAATTCTAATTGTTCTCTCATAGAATGAAATCGTCATGTTGCTAACATGTTTTGGACTTGTATACGCAACCGTTTTTCCGATATCCTATTTGCTGCTTATTGGTGTCCAAAAGGAGCCAGAAGACCTAGTATCAGGGTGATTCTACAAGCACAGAATCGGTGGAGGTGTTTTGTACAAGAATTGTGTCGATATCCTCAGCTGGATACCTTTTTTTCGTGCCTTCAGTGAATAAGAGTAATATAAGCAAAAAAAGCCAATAGACCATATCGTGATGATACCGAGTTGGTTTTAACTTTGCGTCATGACGTTCATAAGTATTTTGATCAACATCCTTAGTGACTAGCTAAATTATTTCCATCATTTGTTAGTTTTTTGAATGTGGCTAGATCGGATGTGAGCATATCCAACAAGGAATCATTGAACATTGAGTTGATGGAGTCAGCACGTACAACAAAAAGAAGTAATAATCTCATAGTTTGATCACGATACCTTCGTAATGGCTCAATACTCATCCTCACAGAGTCTCCACTATCACAACAAACTCGCCGGCAGTCCAATCCTACCCGCCCAGCATCCTTGACTGACAAACTCAAACCAAACACACCATATCTCTTCAAGCCACAGTTTTTCTTTATTATTTCCAAGAGTCAAAGCTCCTCAAGAGCTCCCACAACAACATTTTTCAGAAAGACACTAACTTTTACACACATTCACACTTTCCTCCAGGTTCTTACTTTTCGTTTAGACACAACTTTCAGATGTTTTAGAGAGACATACTTCCAAAACCACACTTCCATTTCAACAAGCTTAGAATCCACGTAACCCACCAACAGATGATCGTTGGTTTGAGCATGATGAGTGACCGCCATGCCTAAAACGATTTGAGAAAAAGGATGATGATCAGTCCATTTACTGGTACAGGAGCGTTTATTGTGCTCTCACACTACTTCAACATACTTTGATGGAGTAGGAGGAATATCCAATGTAGGATTCTTTGAAAAGAAATTAGATGCCTTCAATGTGAATCCACACATTTCAACAGCTAAGGAAACCGAAACAAAATAAGCTTCTCTTCCACGTCAACGTCACGACAAAAAACTTGTATCCATCAAACAAGACATGACTCACGCATAACAGGGAAATCCTCATCCCTCGGAATATGCGTCAGCCCAAACGTATGCCAAAGCACCAAATCCTCATTAACCAAACTACGATCCTGCTTTGTCCACAAGGCAACGCCATCAACCGTATCTCGTAAATTAATGAACGTGCCAGCAGCGTATCGTTCCTCACGGTCGTAGCGAGACACCCATAGGTGGTGGGCCGTGTATGATGCTCGGGTGGCTACAAGCGAGTCTGGCTGTGCATACAAGGGGTGCACTGAGGTTGGGATTAGTTTGTACGCTGGTGCGGCGTCTGTGGATGGGTTTTTGGGGAGGCCGTTGTATGCGATCTTCCATGCGCGGTCGGTGAGTAGGGACGCGTCACGGCCAGAGTCCTTTTCGGAGGTGATGATGGTTTCTTTGGTGGTGAAGCCGTTGCCTTTCGTTGTGATTTGAAGGGAGTTAGTGGCTGCTAGGTGAGATGAACTGATGCAAAAAAAAAAGAAAATGCGCAAAGCTACTATATTCTTTTCAATATAATCCACTCACCCCACGGATTCTCAGGTCCAGGAGGAATGGAAACCACATCAATCTCAGACACAGTGTTTTCACCAGGTAAATCGATACGAGCAGCAAAGAGATGTTGATGGAAGGTTCCATTTACACCTTTAGCAATAGCGGTGCCGTATTTGGGAACACCGTCTGCGGAACAGAATATATCAGGCACAATAGTTTTTTTTTTTTGTGTGTTTCCAATCTGAGTCATACCTTCACTAGAAGCAATAGTAGACAAGATACCGGTAGCTTTAACTTCAAGTTGAATAGTACCGTCCAAGTGGAAGTACCAGTAGAATGCGTACTCGTAGTTGGCCTTTAAAAAGGGATAGCCTCAGCCTTTGTCTGTTTTTTTTTGTTGTTTCGATACGCCAAACATCACACACTTACAAGAGTGGCAATATGACTAATGACCAAACGACGATTACGACGGACTTCAACTTTGCGGTTTACTTGAGTGTGTTTCCAAAGAATGCCAGTTTCCTATGATCCAAGAATACTATAAAGAGTCTTTTCGCGTGAATACAATATTGCATGTCAGCAGCATACCTCTTCATGAATACATATTCCATTCTTAATAGTATAGATCTCTCCCGACATTGAAAAGTGCATGTCAAGGTAGGTAATGTCTCCTACGCAGTCACACCCCAGTTCAAGAGGGTTTGATAGGATGCCGAGACCAGCTTCACCAGCGTCAAAGGCGTGTTTACGAGGGTTGGGCCTGATGAGCGAAAGTGTGAGTACATATTACGAGTTGCGTTGTAGTGCTGATCGTCTTACCATCGAGGATCACCATAAGGTACAACCACTGAAAAACCACAAAGTTTAGCAAAAACGAAACTCATAGGTGCATGAAAGATAGCAACGCCAAGCGCACAACTCACTCTCATTAACACAAATCCTCCTAAACAGCGCCTTATCACCCCACATAACATCCTGCAATATAATCCCCTCCCGATGTCCATACCCAATCCTGAAACTATAATTATACCACTTGATTCCATACCCGTCCAACTTGAACGATGCACCCTCAGGCTGTGTGATTTGAATCGGTTTCAAGGACTTGGTGAATCCGCCCCACTCTTTGGAGAATTTGGATGCGTAGTTGATTGGAGCGAGGGGGACGGGGGCCGCTTCTTCCTTGGGGCCGAAGCCGCATATGTCGATAACTAGAAGAGAATGTAAGCTAGGTTTGCGAAAAATATTAAAAAGCGTGACTCAGATGTGAGTTACCTGTGAAGGTAGCACAATCTACTACGGCTGCCATGGGGAGGGGGTGAGCATATTGGCCTATATGGGCGGAGGGGGAGTATATTAGTATCATTTATGCATGTAAAGCATGCGATGTACATGTCACATACAGTCATCTTCATCTTCCACGTGCGCGTAAAAGAAGACTTGCATGACACGTTTGCCTTCAAACTCCTTCCAGGGGCCGATCTAGTAAGATCCAAGTGAATATCATGCAATTATAAGTTCGAAAACAAGGAAAATACATACAGTCCAGGGTTCAACCACTATGGATTTCATATCAAATCCATAGCTAGCACATTTATCAATAATACCCTGATCAGCACGACACGCCAACGTCGCGCCAATAAACTCTTCAGGCACATAGTTCGGCTGAGCACCGGGAATCTCCTTCCAGCTCTTGACGCTCGTGTTTGGCGATAACTGGATGATAACCTCGTTTGTGGTGCGTGTGCCATCAGATGTGATGGCGACGACAGTAGCGATTGCTTCACGAGGGATTGGCGTGGTTGAGTCGATGCGCCATTTATTGTATATGTCGTTGGAGGGTTCCCAGAGGATTACAGAGTAGACTTTGGATGTGTATTGCTTGGATGACAGACCCGTGAAGGAGTTGATTATTTGTTGGATCGTGGATAGTTCTTTGGGGGTTAGTGGATCGAGAGGATGTAACGCCTTGATGGTGTTCATGGTTGGGTTTGTTCGTTTATCGTTCGCTCCGCCCTAAATTTCATATGTTTTGTTGGTTGCAGTGAGAATCCAGTTTGGCTTTGTGGTACAAGGGCTGGAATATGGATCGCATCGATTGCATACTGGAAGCTGCAAGAACAACACGCCAAAACATATATAATTTCAATCATAAAACTTCGTTATCTATTTTTTTGGTTCTGGTTGTGGGTCTGTTATCAAAAAACTGTTGCAAAAAGAAACTAGTTCAACAAACTAGAGAGAGATCAGAGACGGACACGTACACCAGCGGCCTTTGGTGCAGTCAATAAAGAACCGTCCTTGGATGTTACTTTTTTAATCATGTCCATGGTCACACCACGAACTTCTGTAGCTGGGTTGTATCCGAATCTAAGTAAAGAATCGCGTTAGCATGATGTTTTGATTGACTGATAGCAGACGCTGATGACGCACCGGACACGTGGGTCAGTCCATCCAACAGTGGATGCGTTAGGGAAGGCCTTCTTGTATATGCCGATAACAACGGCACCTCCAAGACCAACGTTGTGTTGGAGAGCGTATCGTGGGTTGGCGACTTGACGATCACCGCACCATCCTCTGAAGGAAGAGAGAAGAAGCGTTATAGGTTATGAAAGCTTTAGTCAAAAGCGCATGGTTTTGCTTACCGTAATTGCCAAGACAATTCACAAGCTTGGGCCAAACCAGTGGCTCCGAGAGGGTGTCCCTACACATACCAGAATTAGCATCATCCACTCGTCATACACCCAAAAAAAGAGCACGGTAGATGCCGCATACCTTGGAGATCAATCCACCAGATCCGTTGACAACGATGTGGTGGTCAACTTTAGATTCAGGTACGAATCGGGGGTGGGCAGCAGCACCAGATGCAACCCATGGACCAGCATGTCCAGGCTTGCATAGTTGTAAGCAGTCGTACATCATCAATTCGTTTCCAGAGAAACAGTCGTGCAATTCACAGACATCGACTTGCTCAGATGTGATCTTGGCAATCTTGTATGCGTCGGCGGCAGCGCGTCTGGTCATGTCTGTATACGAAAAATTGTTTGTGAGATGCGCGACAAAAGCCAAGAAATCTTTTATGCAATGTACAACATACCAGCACCAGCAATTTCAATAGCACTCTTTGGCTTTCCGTTAACGGCAAAGTGGAGGTTGGAGTCGGTAGCCATGGTTTGAGCAACGATTTCAATGGCTTGGGGTTCCAAGTGGTGCTTCTTGACGAATTCTTCGCTGGCAACGATGGCACAGGCAGCACCTTTGAATCGTAATTGCCAATTAAGGAAGATTCCCTTGTTTTGTTCTGTGCGATAGAGTACTCACCATCAGAGGTTGGTGAACAGTGGAGAAGAGTGGCTGGTCCGTAGATGGTACGGGCAGTCTTTACTTGGTCCAAAGTGTATAGGTCTTGGAATTGAGAGTATCTGTTACAGCACGGTTGTGTGAGGTGAATGCAGAAGAGCAAAAAAGGGGAAAACTATGATTTCGTATCGGCTTACGGGTTCAAGGTGCTATTTTCGCATACGAAATACCAGTTAGCACAAAAATCATACACAGCAGCTAAGGCCAAATACGAAACTTACGAAGCTCTGTGGTTCTTGTGTGCAATCATGTGCAATTGTTCGACATCGTTACCCAAATGCTTGTATTGGTTGATGTATTCCAAAGCACCGTTCATGAAGATTTGAGGGTTGATTGGAGCCTTTTCGATTCCGTTGATTTCAGCCATGATTTCGACTGACTTGTCCAAGGGAGAAGTACGGTCGTTCCATCCACCACCTATAAAATGAGTATATGTTGGGAGTTGTGTATATCGGGCTATGAAGGAGCAGCTCGGGACATACCAGTGAGTGGTCCTAACAAAGCAAAAAATAATGGGTGAGACGCCTGAATGACAAAAAACGCAATCACAAGAAATCTCAACAATGAAACACGATGGTATTTACCTGGCTTCATCTTTTCGAAACCGACAGCCAAAGCACATTCGACCATACCACCGGCAACGGCTTGACGGGCAAGGTACAAAGCAGTAGAACCAGTAGAACAGTTGTTGTTTACGTTGATGATTGGGATTTGAGTCAAACCCAATTGGTAGACAGCACGTTGGCCGGCTGGGTAAAAAAAATTGAAAATAAGAACATCCCTCAGAATAACAAGACAGTCACAACATATTCACAGACAACATACCAGTGGAATCACCAGATACCCAACCAGTCATGGCGGTTTCAACTTCATCAAAGTTGACGTTGGCATCGGTCAATGCCTTGGTCATAGCTTCGAGAGTCATATCGGTGTAGTCTTTGCGAGTGTCATCTTTAACATCAGGTCGTCCTGGCTTTTCGAATTTAGTCATTCCGACGCCGATAATGTAGCTGAGTAAGTAAACGAATGACATTGGGTTAGTACGCAAAAAAGCACTCAAAAGGGTTTATTTGGCCGACTCCACTTACGCCTATAGCAGAAGAAGAAGTGAATTAGTTCGCATGTTTAAATCATTTCAATATATCAAACAATTGAATCAAAAGCTCCAAATTCTTCAGCAAAAACATGATGACGTGGAAGGTTTGGAAAGCCTTTCTTCCATGAGACCCAACGAGTAAAGCAACTCCAAAGATTCTAACGAAAAGCTCCTGGACCCCATATGTCCCTCATATTGCTCCAATAGCCCACTCTGTCTAGTGCTGGCAACATTCTTCGTAAAGTGTCGCACAGTTGTCTCCAAGACAAATCCTCCAAGACAAGCACATTGAAAAAGAGGGCCTTATACGTACCTTACGATGTCCCATGGAGCTCATGATTGCTAGGTGCTTGTCTTGTGGTGGTTATTGGGAGAGAATTAGGTGGTTGCTGATTTTTAGAAAGCAAGAGAAGGTGTGTGTGTGATGAGGTCACTAGCAAAAAGAAGGGATTGCTCTTTTGCCCGAACAAGAAAAGAAGGATATCGTGACTAACATATAAGCATGGTATTTGAGGACTTCACATATTCGAGGTTGAATATTACAGAGTGAGTACTAGGAGCTGAACAGTATACTTTGCATTGTTGGATTTGAACTTGTTTTTGTCAACGGTCAATTATCACCATGGTCCAAAGTGATCCTAACCGTGCAGTGTCAGCTGGTCAGACAACATGAATTAAAATTATCTTCCATCTGGTAGATCTTGCAAAGTCTCCTGGGACAGCGTGTTTTCTTGAACGCGAAACAAGTCATCAAGTCCTGTCCCAAGCTCCACAAGCAACTGCACTTAGAAAGAATAGTGGATCATCGATTGATCCGTTTGATGCTGCGTGAAATTCTCCAAGAACTAGCTCTCCATCGTCGGATCTAGTGCGGAACGGACGTCGCGAGGAGATGTGTGTTTCTTGGTGAGCTTTAACCAAGGACGAGAAACACTCTACGTCACCTGTCCGAAAGAGGATCCCTTTTGACAATTCAGATTCAGCCGCTAATTTCTGTTTCAAGGTCTACCTTTGCCCTTGCAAGGAACTCCGTGACCTTGAAATGTGCCAATACTTCCTATCGAATTGTGTCGTACTGTGACTAAACGAAGCCTATATTAAAAGATAGTGCATCAGTATTCGTTGGATGAGCATATCTGATAATGTGACTAGAATGCTACAAAAATCGGTCTCCTGGTCAACATAGGTAACTGGCTTGTTCTGCGAAGCAAGCGTTGTATTTTCACAGGTTTTCTGCGTGGATCGATACGCGATTACGTTCATAATTGTAAGAATTGTCAATATATCGTCTTTGCAACAAACTTGTGCCAAGTTTTGAGCTGAAAGTAGGCGCAGTCTAGTCAAAGCTTTTGGCGAAAACCCACAGAGGAAAGGCAGGGCAAACGGTAAGCTGATTCCACCAGATCCATATTTTATCTCCAAACGATCAACATACATCCACCATAGCTTCGAAATGATGGCTGGAATACCGGAGGACGGCCCAGAAATCAAACAGGAAGTTGACGACGACAACATGCCAAACACTACCTCATCCAATAAGGGCAAACAGCCAGTCAACGGCGTAGCCTCATCTTACAAGCATAAAACTCCTACTACGGAAGACTTGGCCAAGTATTATGACAATGTCAAGCAACATCTCCCTGAACAATTAAAGAGTGTGTTTTCCTATGTTGATGATCTCAAGCTGCAAGGTAGTTGCACAGAATCATGTTAAGATGTTCATATATGCTTATTTCATGTCGCTTGTATAGTCAAACGTCTGGAATCAAGAGTCAATGGATCTGGGTCCACAAACGATGTTGCCTTGAACGAGGTTCGCGCTAGGATGAAGGAAAGTGTTCATTGTTCTATTTGTCTGTAAGTGTGATGCTTTGATATCAGGTTGTCTCGTGTCTGGCTGCACTTGATGTTGGAACATTGTTCGTTATTCATTCGGTTCGTTTTGTTGCCAGGGACTACCTATCAGCTGCTTTTACTCTGGAATGTGGCCATGATTACTGCTATAGTTGTCTAGAACCATGGCTGGCTACGAATAAACAATGTTTGTGCTGGAAAATCACTTTCTGACAATGCTCAGACAATTCACGCATGCAAATCTGTTTTTCACACAAGGACTAACTTTCACCTTAATTTGATCTTATTCTAGGTCCAACATGTAGAAAGGCAGTTAAGAGAAGACCGAATCTGAATACGGGAATAACTCACCAAGCTGAGGTATTTTGCAATTCCGTTGCGGTTTTTTCGCTACAATCTCACCCTTGCCATCATCAATTAGTTGGTCGCTGAATGGTCCTGGAATGAAGAAGGACAAAATGCTTCCAAGCTTCGTCGATTACGAGATGAGAATCAACGTGTTCGAGCCATGAATGATCCGTGGCAAAGACTATTCCCAACACATAATCGTCCTATTGCTGATGTTGGAGATAATGTAAGGAGATGTGGGAGATGCACGTGGGAGATTGTTCATGGAGAATGTGTACATTGTAAGTGCTGTACGCATACATGTTAAGGTGCCATTTTTTTCCTTACAATGTTTTTCGTTCTCAATTTAGGTGGCCAAGTGTACACAAATGAAGAAGACGACGATGAAGCAGACCCAATTCCACCAGGATTTCTACCTTTCTACGAACAGATTCAAGAGGAAGAAGGTTGGACGGATGATGAGGAAGAAGGAGATCGAGATCTTGACCACGATCACGGTCTCGATATAGATGTCGACGAATTCGACGACACTATCACTAATGATGGCTTCATTGATGACGAAGCAGAAGAAGGAGAGGAAGATATTGATCCTGGTAAGCGGGTTATTTAGAAGTCCATTAGATATTTACATGCTAATATTTTATTTGCTAGTTATAAGAAGAATGTTTTCTCCCACTCACAACTATAGTGATGAAGAGGAAGAATTTCAAGACCATCGTATGGACGACGACGAACTTGACGCTATGGTGGAAGAACACGGTCGTCACTACAACAGCCGCAGGGTGGTCGGAGATGATAGTGATGACGATGAAGGTGATCATGGAGCTAGACTTTCAATGTCACCAACCACTAGACAGCTTGCAAGACGTGAATCATCTGATAGTAGCAGCACATCAGAAAGTAGTAATGATAACTTGAGTCCGCCACGATCATCACGAGTGCCAACACGAAAACCGATATCCCGTAAAGCAGCATCATCCTCTGGACCACCACCAAAACATCGACGAACAACAGAACGAAACTCTGAAGTGGTTGATTCGCCTGAGAAATGGCGTCAGCAATATAGACAACGTCGATTGGCACAACAACAACAACGAGCACCTGAACGTAGATTATCACAACCAGGACCTAATGGTGATGATGACGATGAGGAAGATGATGATGTAAATAGAATTCCACCTCGTCGATACGTACCTAAAAGCCCAGAAGATGATGAAGAATTAGACAGAATCCCACTTCGTCGATACAGACCCAATTATCCAGTACCAGCACCAGAATCCGATGACGATGATAACAAAGAAGGAGAACGTATCGCACGTCGTGAACACGGAAAATATAAACCAGTAGCACCAGAATCCGATGACGATGATGATGAAGAGGAGAGGCTTTCACGTCGTAAAAACCGAAAATCGAAAGTAGCTGCAGCTCCTGAATCCGATGACGATGTTAGTGATACAGTAAAAGACGAGGAAGATGAAGAAGCACAGATAAATCGTATTTTACAACAAACGAAAGACTATCAACGAGGAGGATTAGCAGAAGATCTTCGAGAATCATTGGGAGCCGGTCGTAGCACCTCACATAAAAGTGGCTCTTCATCTCATAAACGTAAACACAAGCATTCTCGAAATGATGATGGTGATGACGATGAAATCGATGATGATAGTGACGACGGTGGTAGTGAACATGGTCGTGGTGGTTCGAGTCGCAAGGCAAAACCTTCTAAACGGGTCAAGAAACGACGTATTTCTGTTTCTGCAGATGAAGAGGGTGATAAGCAAGAGCGGGATGATGAGCCTTGAGAGAGAGAGGATGATAGTCGCATATATACAGAAAAAGAGATACAAAATTGTAAAACAGGAGTTATCATTTGTGTAAAGATTTCGCTTTATAAAGATGGCATTTGAAAGTCGTGTAATTGAACATTCTTCCGTCATGAGATTGCGGTTTTTTTGCCTCTGTAAATGCATACCAATGTAACAGCCATCTGTAAACAAATCAACAACTGACATTATTCTATCTGTTTTTTACGAGTGTTTTTTATGGGTCGTCATTTATACAAAAACTCGCAATACTATGATTGAGCTACTCTTTTTTTATGAATTTCGAATCTGCTACCCCTTGCTTTAGTTGACATCAGCAATCTCATCAGCAACCTCCTCAAAGTTCCCATCAACCAATTCAGGCACATTGTCATCATCATCCTTTCCAGCACCTCCGATTCCAGCCATACCACCAGCAGCGGCATTCTTTGATTGATATGTTTCAGCGAGTTTACGCAATGAGGTCAAAGAGTCTGGACCCAATTGGTTTAGAATTCCTGGAACCAATTCTGTCAATTCCTTGTTTTCGCCGACACCGTAGATTACGAATGTGTTTGATTGGACTGCTGCGTGGACTATGTGGTGTGGGGGTGTTGGTAGTGTGAGATTGTAAAAACACGACTGAAAAAACTAATACAAAACGAGTGGATGCGTTCCCAGCTAAAACACTCTTGCAAGTGTTCATTTCTCCATGCTCTGCTTCTACATTCTAAACTCCTCATTATCACCCAAATCCAACAACAAAACAATCATGAACCCGCTTCTAATACATCCTCACACCCAAACCCACTCTTACGCACCTTTTGGAACAGTAAAATGCAACACGGTACCATCGGTCTTGAACATGTTGACTTCTTCAATTTGACTGATTGGTTGGACATTCAATTTCTTTAACGCCGACTGCAGCTTCTTGTCATCGGTACCACTGGTCTTGTGCACCTTTTTGACTTTGCGTCTGGGGGTTCCTTTGCCTCCTATGCGCACTGATGCGGCTTGGGCTTGCAGTTTGGCGAGCTTTTCGGGATTCATTGTTGTGAGGTAGTCTATGTGGGTGTTGGTGAGTTAGTAGTGTTGGTAAAGAGATTCATGGGCATTTCTGTTTTGTCATTTCAAGGAGAAGGTTCTTGAGTTGGGCACAGTTTCTGTATGGATGTGACTTTTTCTATGCTGTATTTGATGTCTCTGCTCCACTGTCTCTCGTCCTCTAGCTAGCTTGCTCAACAGAGTCCCAAATCCAAGCTTTCTGCACCCTCATCCAAGTAAAACCATCAACCAAAAGCCACACGTGCTTACAATATGCAAAACTCCAACAAATGGCTGTCCGAGTTCTGCTTGCTGTCGACCTGTTTAATCCGTCGCGAGTTTGATACTTGCAGCTTTTCGAAAAAGGATGTGTGGCTTGGACGAGGACCAGTGACAATTCCTAGTTTCGTGTTGTAGGCTGTCGGGACGCGTCTTGGAGACGTTATATGTATTTGTTTCCTTGATTTGCTGTTACTGTACTTCTGACACCTCTACATGTACACTTTTTCCTTGCAACTTGAAGCATGTCCAACATATCTTGAATTCGATCAGGCCTACCATGTTTGCAACAGATTATCAGTAGATACTTGTGTAATGTTAGCTTCCAAAGACATCAAATCCAGCTTTGTGGTCCCTTTGTAAGCAGCACTTGGCCCCAAAGTTTGAGAGATTGCAGAAACTGATGATTTTATAGACTCCGGATCAAGATAAAGGCGTAACTGATTAAATCGACACCGCGAAAGATAGTTCCAACGTCCTTGGTGCAATGTTCTTGCCTCCTCGCACCAGAATTCGAGATCGCGTACCTCATCCAACATTCAAAGTTTTCGACATCTCAAACCTCAAACCAAAGAAGATGAAAAGTAAAACGCATTGTCTATTGTTTTAAAACATGTTGCAAGCATGTGAGTGCGTGTGCCCCTTCCGACATGTCCATTGATTTCGATAAAAAGTCCTAGTCTGAGCGAAACTGTCCGTTTATACCTTTATATGACCGATCCTTGATAACTGCCAGCAGATATTAAGGTATTACGAATTCCGGTGATTGAATGATCTGCACAAGAAGACAACTAGTGTCAATCTGCTTACGTTTGTAAAGATACTCAAAGATTATGCAACAACTTACATCATAATCATTCACATAATCCTTACTCTTCACATATGCAAAATGTCTCAACGCCCTAAACTGCACCTTGTACGTTCCACATGGCAGCCGTGCGATATTGCCCGTAAATATCCAATAGCATACAACGGAGTCGGCTGATACTCTGGGTCGAGACAAACGTGTTTCGAGGTGTCTGGCCAGCGATAGTGTAGAGGTAGAGTCCGTCAGTTAGCAGTGCGTCTACGCCCGAAAGGGCGTATTTGTTGGAGGTAGAGAAGGAGAGGACGGTTGGGTTGGTGCCAGTGCAGAGGAGTTCGATTGTGGCGAAGCGAGTTGTTGTTGATAGTGCTATTTGCCGGAAACATTGGTAAATAGACGAGTCTCTTATGAATCCTGCCAAGCACAAAAAGACGTCAGAAACTGGCTGCCACATACCAATGTTCAAGGCAATCACATCCCTAGTAGGCCCAAAGAAATCTACTACTTGATCAGTATACAGTGCTGCACCGGCATTGTAGTCGGTTGTTGAGGACAGTACGACAACCACGTTTGGAATGTAGACAAGAGCGCTTGTGTTTTGTGCGAATTGTTTGCATGAGGACTTTGTAGCTAGTGCTAAAAGCAACAGCCAGGAGTATGACGGCATCGTTGCTATCTTGGTTTTGTTGGGAGTTTTGAATGGAAGTAAAATGTCGGGAGCGTCATGAAAAGTGTTAAAAGAAAAGGCTGAGTGGCCTTGCCATACACCTTGCCGGGGTCTGAACGCATTCTAGCGTGATGTTGTTTACTAGAATCGAAAGGGTTTATGGCCGCCAACATTGTTTGATGGATTCCAGTGATTAGTGAGTGACACATCACGTCCAAGTAGCCGTGTAGGTGTAGATGAAATGTAGCACGTCAACTTCCAAGATTTTACTGGACATTTCATCAGCAAACAGCAATCGTTCACGATTCACGAGTTGAAAATATTGCCCACATAGTAAGCTAAGGTTTAGATTAACGACGTTTCGTGTTCTCAAGTCGATGTATATAGGAAAATTGAAAGAATCCGCCAAGAAATTACGTAGCCGATATGTGTCTCGTCTCAAGCTCCAAAACACCAAACTCTGTTGATTGATGACGGTTTAACACGGAGTATTCACCCCAACAGGTCGGTCAGGAAGATGCCAGATCAATAAAGAGCATACTAACAATTGTCAAATTATAGGTCAGCAAGTATGAGTTCAAGATCGGGAGCAGTTAAACGTTTGCTTGCAGAGTTGAAGGATTTGCAGCAAAATCCTTCACCTGATTTAACAGCAGCACCTCTAGAAGACAATATGCTTGAATGGTAAGCTCTCAAAACGATATCAATGTGCCTCAAGTCTGTTCCTTTCCTCCTTTTGCTACAACATTTGAACATTTGGTTGAACAACATTTCGACGACAGGCACTTTACAATAAGGGGGCCCTCTGACGGTGGTTTTGCTGGTGGGAGATATCATGGTCGAATAATATTTCCAGGTATTGTGCCTCTTTCTCCCCGTCTTCTTTTCATGAGTGGAACTGAAACAACATTCTTGATGCGCTTCAAACACAGCTGATTATCCATTCAAGGTACCCTTCGATTGCACTTGCAATGAGTGGAAAGGAACTATTTTTCGCATTGAACTAACTTTGCTCTATGGTATAGCCTCCAAATATATCCTTCTTGACACCTAATGGGCGATTCGAAGTCGGCAAGAAGATATGTCTGTCAATCACTGGACATCATCCTGGTAACAACACCCAACAATAAGCACTTGTCACTTTACACGTATTGGTTACAAACAAGTCACTGACTCGGCTTTCTATTAGAGTTCTGGAGACCTGCTTGGGGATGTCGCTCAGCCCTCGTCGCATTGATAGGCTTCTTACCGACTCCTGGAGAAGGCGCTATCGGTGCACTTGACTATACAGAGCCCGAACGAGCAGAATTTGCCAAAAGATCACGAGATTGGACGTGTCCCTCATGCGGTAGTTGTAATCGAGATGTATTGCCAGATGAAGCGGATAAGCCTGTAGAGAAACTTGTTGCTGAAGAAGGGTTGACGTTTACGATGAAAGCAGATGGAGATGCTGCTCCTGCTTCGTCTACGAATGATCACCTAGGAAGTGAAAGTCCATTAACAGATCCAACACCATCTATACCAACGGAATCTACACCTGTAGTAGCAGCAGCAGCATTACACGCAAGACCACAATCAAGTTTATCTTCAGCAGCGTCAACAGCAGTTCAACCGAATATAACACAACCTCAACTACGTGTTCCTGCAGCTCAACCCGTAGTACCACAACAACAGCCAATACCAGCAGGAGCTCGAGCCCCAGAAATGATTGTTATACCACTTGATCAAACCACAATCAGGAAGCGGCAGATAGATACGTGTTTGATGTTTGTATGCTTCCTTATAGCTTGTCTGTTGTTGCGTAGACTGAACTCGTTCCCTCTTGAGCCAATGTAAAAAGAAAATAAGGTATAGACAAATACAATCAAGTGGGTTATTTATAGAATAAGCTGGTGCTTTTTGAAATACAGCTTTTTATATGTTATTTCGGTGAAATGTACTCTATGGGACGGACCGTCGTCTCTATTTGCCACCCTTCTTGTCGGCTTTTGGAGTTGGTGCAGGTCTGGGAGTTCTCGTGATTTCCGTCGTCTTTTTAGGATGATGAAATCTCTCATCTCGTAGAATCATTATCGGCCTGGTATCCCATCCGTAAGCTTGCGAAGCAGTTAAAGGAGCTGGGTACTTGTCCCGTGGTGCCAAGTTACGTTGGGCTTCTCGCAAAAAATATTCCTCTATATATGTCGGAAGAGTATGGGAGGATTTGTTGTCAGGTGTTTGAATTCAAATGTTGCAAAAAACAACTCGCAAACAACCGCCTAGAGCAAAGTAGCACTTACGATCCAAGACACCTTCAGTTCCAGTTGGCACAGAATCAGTTGGCTTTTGACTTAGAACAATGTCTAAGTTTGGGTTTAGCAAGTCAGATGTCAGCCATTGCACCCTAAACAGACGCAAACGAGTCTTCCACATCAACCACTGGTTACATACTACAAGAAAACAAGTTAGTACGCGTGTGCATTCCAAACTACAACAACGCTCCCCACCTTTTCTTAATGTTTGGTGACAACATGAATGTCTCGTATGGCTTGAATGTGCGCATTTCCTTTTTAACAGCTTCAGCGAATATTTGGGGGTTGAAATTCTTGCCTGATCGTTCGCCATTTTTGGAGCTCGCAGCTGCTTTTGGTGCCATGGTTGAACGAGGCTGTATTTGGATGGGTTTAGTTAGTGTGGTGTTTGAGAACAGTGCGGTTTTTTGTGAATGACCCTGAGACTTGAATCAGTATGAGCTGCGCTTGTGTACGGCGGTTGATGGTGAGGGGTGCAAGTGTTTTGAGATGGAGCTACGTGCAAGATCATAGTGCCATGGATCACTTGGTTTGTCACATAGTTACGTAGTTTTGCAATGTTGAAATTCTCAACTGGACCTGACGAAACAATTCTATCGCGTAATGCGAACATTTAAAATGCAAATGCAATAAGCGACAAGAACTCTCGTGTCGTTCAATTTCATCCGCGGTGAAGAAAAAGACCTCTGAGCGAGTTTCTGTTGTGAGTCAAAATCGTTTTCAACTCATACTTTTCTTCAATCCCCTTAAAAACCTGATCAAATACAAACGGCAATAGAATTCTATATTATAAGAAGTAAGATCTAGTCTAGTTTGAAGCATTGTAGGCTCCTCCAGTTTAACAGTTCACAAAGCAAATCAAAATTCACAACAGTGACCAAGCTCATCCACCTTCACTTTGAATACCTAGGAGACAAGATGATGCTCAGGAATGCGTCTCGCTTGATAAAGACATCTACTCTACTCCACCGAACATTTGCAACCGTCGCCCCATCAGAATCTTATAAAGTGGTGGTCATAGGGGGAGGGTCTGCTGGCTTGTCTGTCGTCGGCCAGCTAGCTCGCGATGGATTATTCCAAACGAAAAAAGATATATGTGTCATTGATCCCTCTTCTGTTCACTACTACCAAGTAAGTCTGAATGTATTGGGGTGCAATTTCAAATTCACAGTTTGTGACTTTGGTTGGTCTTGCACAGCCAATGTGGACATTCGTTGGGGCTGGACTCAAGACTTTGGATAGCAGCAAGAGGAATATGAAGGATTTGATTCCTCCACAGGTAGGTCATCGTGTTGCGTTTAGCCTTGCCGTACACCATGCCTTATGATGGTTACGACTAGGCTCATTGGGAACAAACATCAGTCAAAAAAGTGGATCCTGCTCGCTCCGTCGTCATCACCGCCAACGGAAAGGAAATCAAATATGATAAACTGGTGCTGGCTGCTGGACTTGAGTTACGGTTTGACAAGATTGAAGGGTTGACTAATGCAATTGGGAAGGATGGTGTGTGTTCAAACTATTCGGCTGATTATGTGGAAAAGACTTATGAGGTATGCAAAGTTCTCATTCAGAATATTTAGCTCAGCGCTTGTTTTGCCTTGATCTTGTGTTGATCTCTTTCCACCCAAACATCTAGTTCGCAAAAGCGTTCAAAGGCGGCAACGCAATCTTCACTCAACCAGCCACAGCAGTCAAATGTGCTGGTGCTCCACAAAAAGTAATGTACCTCTCTGAAGAAATCTTCCAAGCCAATGGCGTCCGAGACAAGACGAACGTCAGTTTCTTTTCTGGAGTTGGCAAGATCTTTTCTGTTGAAAAGTATGCCAATGAGTTACTTAAAGTATGTAAATCCCGAAACATCAATGTCAACCTGCTACATGATCTGGTTGCTGTTGATGGGGTCAAGAAGGAAGCTACATTCAAAATGATGGGTGATTTGGCAAAGAATCCGCCACTGACTGTTAAATATGATTTCTTGCATGTTACACCACCTATGGTATGATCTGGTGCACGAAATGGTGCCTAGAACTTCATTATTTCGGGTTTTTTTCTTCGCTATGTGAACTAAAACATTCAACAATGTTAGGCGCCACCTGCATTCATCGCCGAGTCTGGCCTCGCCAATGCTGATGGATGGTGCGATGTAAACAAGGAAACAACAAAGTCATCAAAATATGATAATATATACTCGTTGGGTGATTCAAGCTCTATGCCAACCAGCAAAACTGGTGCCGCAGCTGCTGCGCAGAGTTACGTCACTGCTACCAACTTGCTGACAGACTTGAAAACGCCTGGTCAAGCTCTACCTGCCAAGTATGATGGGTATACGTCTTGCCCTTTGGTGACTGGTAAAGGTTCGTGAGTGTGTTTGTGTTTTTGAAGGATTGGAGAAAGCTGGATCCATTGCAACTCGTGGTGATGAGAGTGGAGGACAGTCTTAGCTAGGATATGTTTGTATCTCTCTTTTTTGCTTGTTGCACTAACATGACCGAACCTGTGTAGGGAAACTGATACTGGCAGAATTCTCAGGCTACACATTCGTACCACAAGAAACATTCGCATTTGATCAGAGCAAAGAGCGTGCATCTACTTATTATATGACTTCGGAAGTAAGCCAAAAGCCTTGCACAGGAAATTTGCTGACGTTACTCTATGACTAATAACACCATCATCACACATTCTAGCTAATTCCAGCCATCTATTGGAATGCCATGGTCAAGAGGGGCTTATGGAGAGGTCCAGGACCATATAGAAAACTCCTCAACCCCTTCTCATCTTAAACAACCCGACTGATCAACTTTCACACCCCATCACATCACACACACACAGTTTTTGCATATAAATAGAAATTTTCCTTGTCACCTCGTACTACCTGGTCTACCAAGTTGTGAGAGTTTTGTTTGTGGTCAAAAAACGAAAATCTTCCTAGACTTGGATTTCGGAAACTCGCAACACATGTCTCGGAGATTTTTTAAAGCATTCGGAGGATTCACAGTGGTAGTACAAACAATCCGTAAAGAATTAAGAGCTCCTTGTTGACCGGAACCTTTTCCCCAGGAGCACGAGGTTGTCGGAGCCTTTGTTCCCCAGGAGGTTTCAGGTCGTCACGAACATCCCAAACACAAAAAATTCAAACAACCAATTCTCTCAATTCAAAACGACAAACCTCATATAGTTCAGAGTTAAGTATAGACACAAAATGACGGTTGGATCTAGCTCTGGTGGCTGCTGTGGAGCGCTTGGTCGTTTGCCTATTGCTGTGAAGGTATGTGGTCGTTCGTGACTCTTTATTATTCCCCTAGTAAAACACACACGTCGCACGCAAAAAATATAGTAATAATTGGCTAACTCTACTCATGATTTCTGTGAACTCAGGTCCTCATTGTCGTCGTCACATGTGGTATCGCCGCTGGTGTCGGCTATGGTATCTACTATGGATTGGTCCAAAGTGGGGTCGTCATCCCTGCTGGAGCGTCTGCTCTTAAAGTTGTCGTACGTGTCGTTTCGTTGCATATCTGAATTGCTGGGAACTCGTGTTTGGCATTGTTCTCCTTCTGCTCTGCTTGGGCTTTTTTTGGTCTTGGTTTTAACACTCCATTTTTAATCACAAAAATCTACTAGGTATCCATGAACCCCGTTGGTGCCTCTTTGCACAAGAGAGCTCTGGGAGATATTACAAAGGCTACCTACTTCCAAATGAAGTTGTCTGCTTTATACTTGGTATGGCAACGCCTCAACCGCCGTGTCTTCAACAGTATCTTATTCGTTTTTCTTTTGTTAGGCTACCGATGTCGATCCAGTCACTCAGGTAAACTGAATTTTTGTGTGATACTTTGTGCTGTATTTTTTGTTTGTTGAACCTGAGTTCTCCTTTTGTTAGAACAACATTGGTAACAATTTGATGATTTGGAAGAACACGGAGTGTGTTGATATGAACCACGTACGTTGTGCATTAGATTGATAGAATGGGTGGTTTTGCATTAAATTTTATCTGACAAACTTTTGTTAGTGCGATCCTTCCTACATCACCAAATGTACGTGACTCGTCAACGCTCGATACAAGTCTTGGAATTGGCGTGCTCGACACTTTACTTTTCTCAAACGCTGAACTCACACAAAACCCAACACTCTATAGACTTTGACTTTGTAAACATTACCCAAGTAAACCTCGACCTCAATGCCCAAGCAAACCCCATCAGCCCCTCCTACTATGGCTCCTACAAATACGTCCGTCTCGAATTCTGCAAAAACATGAGCTCCCTCCCTTCTACCACCTACAACTTGAAATTCCAGAACGGAAACATGAGTGGCCCCGCTGAAGTCCAAACCAACTCGTGTGGCCAAACCTCATCTGTCATGAATCCCCCTCTTGTTGTTAGTGCTACTTCGGGCAACATTTCGGTGCAATTGAGTTACAACTTGAGTCAGGTTCATGAAACTGGTTCTGGTGGAGGGTATTATGATACTGCTACTAGTGCTTATTATTATTTCAATGTGCCTCAGATGAATCCTGTTGCTGTACAAGCATAGATTGGGAGTAGAGGTGGTTTGGCGCGTGTGTGTCTTTGTGGAGGGATGAGGGAGTTAAGGGATGAAGAGAGGAGAGCAATCGTAAACTTTGTGAGAAACATCAAATACATCTGCTTTACTACAGCCAACTGTTTTCTCGTCTTTCTTTGAATTCTTTCTAACTGACATCAATGACTGGTAGCAAATACGATCGAACAATTTAAGACTTTCGGACTTCTTCTTTTGCATTTGCCGTTTTGATTATCTCAAAACTTTCTTAGCTAAACTTTTTGACTTCGATACAAAACTTTGCGAGGTATAAATATTTTAGAAGACACCAAATAGCATTCTTTATTTTTCGATCTCACCTGTCGAATCGAGTTCTCGAGCATGTGCTGATGGAACGAAGTAGGCGAGAGAGGTAGGTGGATGCTGTGCGGTGTAGTTGGTTAGATTGAGGCTGAATTGGCTGATCTGCTCTGGTATTGACCCAAAATTAGCGATGAAAAAAATGGGCCTAAACGAGAATTGAACTCGTGACCTCTCGCACCCGAAGCGAGAATCATACGACCTAAGAAAACAGTCAACGGTTAACGTCGTTCTACCTACTATTCGTGAACGTAGTTACGTACTAGACCATTAGGCCGACCGTTCCGACGAAACGACACGAAAGTTGTAAAGGATGGTACTGATATTTTGTCACGGAGGCCGACTTTTTAACCCTTCTGAGAATGCATGAGCCCCTTCTGAGCCGTAAGATATTAGGTCCTCTTGATTTTGAAGCTATATATGGTCCTCAAACCAGCCAAAAAAAATGCAACGTAGGGGAACAAGGATCAACCTTTCATATCGACATGAGACGTATATATATAGAACTAATCAAGTATTAAATGTGTACATGATATGCGTATATGCTCTTCCCTCTACACAGATTCTTCAGCCATACCACGGCTGTCCAAAGAGCGCTCCTCGATTGCCAACGAATTCTGGGAACCCTTTAGTGCCTCGCAAGTAATCACTCAAGGTAACAATATTCTTGCTAACGGACCGTAAACTCCATAAACCGACTCTCCTTAATCGTTTAGCACGTTCTCGCTCATCAGTAACGAGATGAGTGAAGCATCTACCGACTTCTTCAGAGAGGACGTCAGCTAGGCCTGCAGCGTATATGTCCCATGCTCCATCAAAATTGGTCTAATCGAAGAAGAAAGGTATGAGAGAAGAGCAAATATTCAATCGATAAAAAAATGGCGACATATGTATCCATTCTTACCAAATCCATCTGAACACCAAACACCATCGGCGTTATGGTCTTGTTAGCATTCATATAGGCTACTACAGGTCTCACCAATGCCGAATTCAGATACGTCAGATCGGGTGATGTCAATGGTATGGATGCTCTCAAATCATTCAGTCTGACATCAAAAAAGAAGCGTATATATGGTGGTCCATCAGGGTTTGGCGGTGGAGGTGGTGTAAACGGTATATCCGTATACTGTTCTGTTTTCTTATTATAGCTATTACTGTGTTCACTATTTACTCGTAACGCTGGTGTCACGACATCATGGAGCATATGTACACCACCATTACTACTACTGTGGTCGTCATCTCGTCTCATGTTACCAGTCATTATACCAGGTAATTGCATATCCATATTTCGATGGTAACCTGTTCGATGACTGTCATATTGGATGGGTACTCGGATTACACCTTCAATACGTGAGAAGGCTTTATCACCCAATTCGAGAGCCCGATGTCTTAATTCCTGGATTTCATCTTTAAGGAGAGCTAGGACAGTGTGATCTGATACTTGAGGGATTAGGATGTGGACATCCATGTCAAGAGTGCCGCCTGTAATCCAACCGAAAGGACCTTCGGCACCTTGATTCATGTGAGCTATAGGTACACCATTGATTTTGAAGTGAGACTATAGGGAACAAATATGAGTCAGAATACCGGTTTTAGTGTATCATGTGCGCATGCCAAAAAAAATACAACTTAGAACCTCCATATGACCCGCTCCCAGTTCAACTCACCATCTTTGCCCATCCTGACCTGGTCTCTCTTCCATCTTCATCATCCTGTTCACCTTCCCGAGTTTGAGGTTTGTGTACACTAAACAAACAACCATCAAACATGCCCACGACGGAATTAGCACCCAATATATCGTACAACAACCATTGAAATCGGAGTTTGGGAGCATCGGCATGATATATCGATAGATTATACGGTCTGAATCCAGGGTTACGGATTTCCAATAGCACATCTTCCAGCTGAAACTTTTCAATATCTAGATCACCAATGGATGCTTGTCGACGAGTAGGTACCCAGTTGGGATCGAAATGGATGTGCTCACGATGGATAGTTCCTCGAACACCCCTTATAGAGGCATCTTTGATTATACCTTTACCGTCCAAGTATCTCCATAGCGATAATGATACATCAGCGTACTGAATATTTACATCCCAATACGTCCAGTTGAGATCCATATCGGCATCTTCTTGTGTTATAGGAGGTTGACGGTTTTGTTTACGTTTAGCGTTTATGAGGTCCCGATATGTGTCACCGTCGAGTTTTAAATTTACATTTTTGAGTCGAATGGTACCATCCTTCCATCGAGGGACTATGGCAGATTCAAAGGTAATCAGCATCCCAGTTTCGGCAGCCAAGAAGTGAGACAGCTTGCGTGCTAGCCATTCTAATGGTAGAGATTAAAGAGTCAGATTTGTGGCCAAAAAAAAAAACACTAAAGGTTCGAACGAGGCATTCCATTTAACGATTGCAATCACACAAACCATACCTTGACCCTGTACACTATTAGCAATGAGCAGCACTATAGATACAAAGCCCGTAGTTCCTATTAGGACCCACAAGACATTCCCAACCAACATCCACGAAAAGACTGCCAAAAAATCATCCGTCTTCCACGGCCTTAGGTGACCAGTCAAGAAGAGCCTAACACGCAGGTATTGACGAGTCCAAAAGCCCTGCACACTAGCAATGATTTCACGACGAGATGGGATATGTGGCATGTTTGGTGTAGTTGAATGATACAAGTACTGGACATAGTTTGTAGTTTCCTGCTGTGCTTGACCCCACCATTTGCTGGGTGTTATGAGCGGTACCTGTGTATTATTTGTTGCGGGTGTGGTTGTATTATTGGATGATGATGGGGTTGGTTTTCCAGACGTGTTTGAGGATGTTTCAGTTGATTTTGAGCTAGATACATTGCATCGTATGGTATGTCGTACATTAGATTGCCATGAGCGTATTGAAGAGCTTAGTGGGGTGGATGTTCTATGCCATATTGCAGGATGCGTATTACCACGTTGATTCAGCAGGGCAAATGTCCTGAAAGTAGAAGCCAATGGCAAGAGTGGAGATATTACAGGGATGCCTGAGCTAGAGCCAGATGAAGCAGGAGACAATGGAATCAGATGTCTAGGCAGCCAAAATGTTGGAGTTCTCGACATTCCTTAAAACCTTGATTCAGTTTCAAGGAAGCAAGCTAGTTGTACCAAGGCTACAAGGAACAAGATTAGTTTATAAACAACTAGCTCCTATTTGAAGACATGAAGGCAGCTGTGCTATTCAGCGACCCTATATACAAGCTTTGATCCTACTGCGACTTGTCACAGAAAAAAAGTTGAGCTTGTTTCGGATTGGAGGGAGACGTGAATCAAAGGAAGAATTCTAGTCAAAAGGAGCAATTCTCGGATCCAAGACAGCGTTTTGAACGTGTCTCGTCCAAGTTCGACGCGATTGACACGCTTTTGGTTGCAGGATTTAACTCTGCGGAAGAAACTCTGATTCTTACGTGTCCAAGTAGATGTTCAAGCTGAAACAATACAGAGTTTATATTCTCCACAATTCTTTTCGAGCGAGAACTACTCTGTCTGGCTTGTCCGCACAGGAAAACGTGTCGCTCTGCACGTGTGATTTCTCACTTTCAAACCCAACATCGAGCACAGCGTTGTAAGGCTATATAGTTACAATCAGGAGCCATAAATAAGCAGCAATACAACTTGAAGTTACATATCCTTGAACTCGTAAGTCGAGTCCTGACTGAACTGGTAGCTTTCGTTGGCCATGTAATTAAATTCGCTGAAGCCTCCGAGATGAAGGGCTTGCCCGAAGGAAGACTCAAAAGAAATTCATTATTTTGATATGTTTACTCTCATGTACTGCATCGCATCTGCCACTTCGTCTATTTTAAAACAATATTTGCATCATTCATCCTCAACATTTGACAATATTCGAATCTAACTTGTATTCAACCCTTTCCATATAGACCATATGGCATCTCCATCGTCCTCTACAAACCAACCAGCATCAAGCTGGCTTGTATCTCTATCTTCATGGCAAGCCTACATTACACCCGCATTCTTCGTAACAACAATCAAATCAACTTGGAATTGGATTTGGAGCTGGATTACCCCCATCTTATACAATAAATCAGTCCCCGCCATCCTCGTCACTGACGCTGATGCGCAGCAACAGCAATCATCATCAGCTACAAAAAGTACAGTCATTTTTGAAACGACTGATGATGCTGAGGACTCGACTCTGATTGCATCAAGAGCCACAACAGGTACTAGTACTCAGCAACCATTGGTCATCGATACTTCCACTACTCCAGCTGTAGTCTCATTGGATCATGGTGGTCTCTTTGCAGTCACTCCGTTGGAGTCTTGTATTGATTCTGCTGCATTGGAGACTATCTCGTCCTTTGATATGTCTTCATCTCTATCAAGTCTTGCATTCCCAGGTAAGCATTTGATTGAAATTGAAGCAGTGTATATGTTATTTCACCAGAAACACACTGTTGAATCTTTTCTTCTTCTCTGTGATGACGATCTGACACGAATCTTGAACTTGTGTAGATTCCTCCACACTAGAGACCTTTGACCACGAAGATACTCTAGTCGCAGACCACTTGCACCTCAGAGCTGCTGCTACTGTTGACGGTGTCGGCACAACTGGTGATGACGTAGCAGTAGAAACCACCCAACTCGAATACTCATCAGACCTGGATGATCTCCACTTTGGCATTCTCGACCGTATCCGCAAACGAGAGAAATCCGATAGTGATTCCATCTCTGGCGGTGTTGATCCATCCTCCTTGCACAAACGTGCCAAGTTCGAAAGTCAACAAGACAGCATCTTGTCTACTGGCAATGCCATCCATGTCGAACCTAGCGATATTCCATCATCTCTCAATAAAAATGATAAAGGTTCCCTCGTAAAGAATGAGAGCAGCAGTACTGGTGATCAAATCATTGCAACTGGTGAAAACAGTATGGCTGGGACACCATCTGCAGCTCAACACTTGGACGTCACCGATGTTGGTCCAATGAATGATTTCGACTACACTAATTTATTCGAATCATCATACAAAGCTTATGAATACTTCAACAATACTCGCGCTGCAAGTGACGCTATTCTGGTAGCTGAAACTTTGGAGGTCGAACCAACTTCAAACGTTGCTGTAGGGACACCTGGTGTAGTCGAAACAGGAAAAGAAGCTGCTTCTGCTGGCAATGTAGTTGAATCTACTCCTGGCAATGTAGTCGAATCTCCTGTCGAATGTACTGCTGAAAATGTGGTTGTGTCTGCTCCCGTTGGTATTGTAGGTGAATCTCCTGCTGATATCGTAGCTGAACCATCTATGGAATCAGCCACAGCCCCAGGATCTGGTTTGTCTCAAGGTGAAACTATTAAACTAGTTGACATCCTTGATTCAACATCAGACAGCATTGATGATGGAGCTGGTATGAGTCTTGTAATCAATACCACTCGCGATGACGACAACTTCAAGAGTGGCGATTCATCTATATACGCCACTCCCACTGGTGATAATGTCGTCAGCTCAACTTCAATGCTTGCCCATATGGGTGATGACGTCAACGCCCTTCACATTGAAGCCTCATTACCCAATCCTATCATTGCCGCTAGCGCTATTCCCATATTCGGTACAATCTACTCAATTGATACACCATCATCCACTGAAGTAGCAGCCTCGTCTAGCATAAAGGATGACAACGTGTCTGCATTTTCCTTTGTATCTATGGCTACCACCTCTGCAGGTGTCGAACAGAAGGAGTACACTTTCACCAAGTTTGATGTGTCATGTCTCGGTCATGAAGAACAGGCAGTTGTTGCTCTTCATGTCGAGTCCTTGTCTTGTGAAGAATGTCAAGTTGTATTGGATTCAACCAAGAATGTACGAAGAGTGTACCCCGGGTTGGCTGGCAATTGTCTAACATTGCTTTTCTTTCCCAATAGGTGGTTATCATGAAGGGCGATGCTGATTTGGTCATTCATCGTTTGGAAGAGTACGAAGATGAAGTTGCCACATGGGTGAGCGATACGGTACCCCTATCCATTTTTTTGACTGTGCTCACACCTACTCAATACAACCTAGGTGCCAAAGACAGAAGGACCTCAGCATGCTGAAAAACTCCCAAACAAGGAAGGACCTCAAGAAGGTGAAATTATTTCAAAGCAACAAGGCAATGAAAACGAAGTCACAACGATGTGAAGAGGTAAAATCTGTCGTAACAAAACGAAATGTGTAGGAAAAGCATGTTGTAGAATGCATTTTGTCGCAAATATATCGAGCAAAGGATTTGTGTATTATAAGAAGAAGTGTCATATGTCAAGTATGTCCCATATTGAAGCTGGGACTATGTGCTTGTTGTGTTCGTAACATGAAAGTGCCATTGGTTTGCCGACGTGGCTCTCAGTAAGCATAGTATGGTGAGTGAATACCATTTTTTGGCGTGGTGGTTGACGACAAAATGGCCAAAGTGATCAGCGATGCTTTAAACAGCTTCCGTCTTCACCTTTTTGTTCGCATCATTAATAGTTCGGGTGTCATCCTTGACTTTGAAGTTGAAGGGTGGAACAAAATGCAACAACCACGAAGGATTGCGGGAGAGTAATTCGACGTTTGGCGTTTTTCAAATCAGGAAGTTATTCACAAAAACATACCTAATCTACCACGAGTCTTGTTTATGAATTCGCAGAATGCATAATTCTGAAAAACGAGAGAAATAATGTCAATGCCATGGACACCAAAAGTATGCATGCAAAGCTCACCATATTCTTCTTTGAAGAAACACATCCAGCGTAACAATCAAACATTATCACTTACATGCGGTATAAGATACGATTCTCCTTAACATACAAGAGATTGTTCACGTGCACACCTCTCAATTCATGACATTTGTACATGACACTGTTCTAAAAACCTGAGAAATCTTATCTCCCTTCAACACTTCAACCGACTTACAATCTCCAGAGCCATACCAGTACGAATATGCTGGCGTTACTGCTTCATCTAGAAATGCGGCTGTATGTGAAATCGGGGTGTATTAAAGGAATGAGGGAAATATTAGTTGAGACAGAAGCATCCACTTCGAGATTGACTGGGTTTTCGCCTTCCAACACACAATGTTGAAAAATCATTTTCTTCGTATGGTTTCCCTCTTGTTCTCGGGCAATTACAGTTCTTGTCAACGAAAAAAAAACAAGTGATTTAGAAGACTAGGAGACTCACCGTCTTCCACATCCCCTCCGTCTCCATCATCATCCAAATCATCACCAAATGATAGTTAGGCTTTAGGTTCAAGACTTCCTCTTCATTTAAGGCTTTCTCTTTTTCAGATATCTTGTCACCACCGTACTGTGAGTTTGCGCCATGTATTTTTTTCACCTGCGAAAAATAAAAACATCCGCTTATCTCCTCTTGTCCAATTCATCAAGACGAGCTTGATTCCGCATCGGATATGTTGAAAGTCTTCTAATCTCACTGGCGAGACAGCTTGTGTCTTGAGCCCATGGTCTGGCCCGCTTCTGTCTGAGCGGTATCCTTCTGAGTCGACTTTTACGTTCGATCTCTATGTGTAAAAGGGAGTGCGTATCCCGAGCATCGGTTTTCTCGTGTGTGTACCTCATACTTTGAAAACAAACAACAAAAGAAAACCGGCGTGAATTCAAATCGTATAGACGACCCTACCTTAAAAATCAGCTCTCCATCACCACCGACTTCTAAATTATCATCAGGTGATAATTGGGTTTTAGATTCAGGCTTTCTCGTCTTTCCTGACACCTTGCAGTACAGAGTACGCATGAGTTCCAATGCACCAAGGGTGATGTGTAACAAAGAAGATGTGTAAGAAAAAATGATGTAGGATGCAACAGTGGCAAATATATTAAACAAAGGATTTGTGTGTAGAAGTAGGTGTTGGTTTTACATGATAAAATGCGAATCAAAGAGTCTAAAGCAGAACTGACCGCAAATCTGAGAGGATTTCATCACTTGTACAGCAAAGCATCTTTTAAGAGTTCTTGTTCCAACTTCATCTTGTTCATGTCCTTGACAGAGTATTTGCCATACATTTTCTGAGGATCGAATATTTCCCATCTTGAAGCTGGGAATATGTGCTTGTTGTGTTCGTACCATGAACGCTCCATTACTTTGCCAGCGTGGCTCTACAAGAAGCGTGTTAAGGTCAGCACTTTTTTTTTGAGGTTTGAGTTGAAAAAATGGCAAAAGAGAACGTTGCTAAGATTACTATATGCTTACATCTTCAGTTTCTTTAGTCGCATCATTTATTAGTCGAACGTCATCTTTGACTTCGAAATTGAAGAGTGGACCTACAAGCAAAAAAATTAAAAAACCTACATAATGATTGTACCAGAAACCATTTTCCCAAATACATACCTGATTTCCCGCGAGTCTTGTTTATGATAAAGTCGTAGAATGTATAGTGCTAAATAGAGACGAATCAAAGGTCAGCATCTACGAAAGCAAGCGAAAAAGCAAAGACACCACTGAGGGGTAACCAAACGCTACTTTTACTGCATCGCACAACAGCCACCAAGTCTTGACCCCTTCAACAGACAACAACTTACATGCGGTATAATAAGATCTTCTTTCACATACATGAGATTGTCCACATGAACACCTCTCAATTCATGCCATTGCAAACGACACTTTTCCAAAAACTTGGAAATCGTATCTCCCTTCAACACTTCAACCGATTTACGATGTCCGGAGCCATCCCAGTACGAGTATGTTATCGTAACTGCTTCGTCTAGAAATATATTGTGAGTTAGAGAGTTACGCTGAGAGAAACGTATCCAGTCAAGGTAAAATAAGATTTTTTTTGTTCAATGTAGTACATACCTTTAATTTTCTGTTGATCTTGCTCCCATTCTCGTTTCAGATTGTCACGTTCACGACGGTCTTCTTCTTCTCGTTCACGATCTGGGAGGAAGGAAGTGTCGACGTGTGGATTCTTTTTCAGTTTTTTGGAAGTTCGTTCGTCATCTAAATCGTGAGAGTTGAAGGTATTAGAGAGCTATTATTGTCCATGTAGTTTGGGTTTTTTTTCTCTTTCCAAATATGTCGTGGAGGATGGCCCATCAGAGAGAAGATTGTTATACGTTCCTTGGGATTGATTTAAAAACTCAACCATAGAGATCTTGCTTTCGACCAATCCCTCGCGCAATAAAGTTTGATGATACAAATCAATTTCATCACATGGGTTCCTCGTGTGCATCTCTGCCGCTGTCAGACAACAAACACAAGTCGGGAAGGTAACGGACTCACCATCTTCCACATCAGCTCCCCCATCACCACCTTCTTCTAAATCGTCGCCAAATGATAGCTTGGCCTTAGATTCAGGCTTTCTCTTCTTTTTAGATACCTTGTCACTAACATAGTTGTGAGTTGCAATGCTTCCAACGCTAGTTCGAAAAAAATTGGCCTGAACCAAGGGTAACTACATACATTGATCTGCCCTTTTCCAATTCATCTTGACGAGCTTTATCAATATTGTCTCGTATACGTTGAAAGTCTTCTAGTCTGACTAGGCCGACAGTTTGTCTCTTGAGCTCATCGTCTGCATCGTTGGTGTGAGAGACGAAGCGGTCTGATCCGACTTTTACGTTTGAGCTCTACGAATAAAGAAAGGGCGTTAGTATAGTGGTGGGCGTCGACGTTTGCATTTGAATGTTTTGATCAATGTTTGATGTTGCGATGGCAGAAGGAGGTTGAGGTAGAAGGGGTTTTGTAATATGAAATGGCCATTGATGAATATTTCAGTTGAATTACTTTTTGGATTTCGTTCTTTCGTCGTTGCAATTCTTCAACATCTTTGGATCGTTGTTTCTCGAGCTGTGCCTAAAGAGAGACAACATTGTGAGGATCCAGACTAGATCAATATAACGAGCGACCTGCAACGCACTTACCAGTCTTCTTTGCTCTGCTACGGAATCCGCCATCGTGTCCTGGAAGTCTAAATCTGGGATGCAAAAAATGCGACAACCAGCCAGCAACGATGAATCTGACCAACAATCCGCCAAGTCACATTCCAATGTACTGAGATTTGATATTTGTTGCTATTGTTCTATGTTGCGAAGGTTTTTACACGTGTTTTATATACAATTACATCAACTCGCTGATTCAACTACATTGGTTTAGAGCTCTAAAATAGCAACATCTCCAAGATCTAGCTGATAATTGACCACTGGGCACGTTCAGACTTGCGTTTGAAAAGAAATCACCACATATCACGTATTGCGAAAAAGGCCCTTGCTGAAGCCTCTAGCGGGTCCCCTCACGTATCCAACACTCTAGACTACTTGTATGGATGTGGCCGCCGCGACGATCTCGTTGAAGATGATGGCAGGCCCGGCCTCTTTTCGATTGTTTGTGTTTCGAGTTGCTTCCTAAAGGACCAAAAACATTTTACGTGAGTGAGAGTATAATTGATGACATTCAAAAAGACTCTCTTACTCTTCCACATCCTCATTCTTTATATCTTTAACATCATTCGCCAGCTGTATAGGCGGTAGACCTCGTTTCTGTCGTTCATGTTCGAGTTCGAAAAGTTTACGATCTAGAGCACTTAGTTTTGCTTCAATCCTGTTATAGAAAATTGTTATAAGGTGAGTTTCAATTCGAGCGAAAAGGGGGCTCGGGTAGAAGTCGTATACTCACGGTAAATGACGAGTCCTTGGTTGCACTTTGAGATTAATCGGCGAATCATCAGCATTCACAGTTGGTTGTATGGTTCGACGAGTAGGTTTATCAGACGATGAGGCATCATCTGCAGGCTGTGAGATGGGAAAGAGCGTCAAACGGCGCTTCTATGAGGCTGACTCCGTTGAGATTTTTTTGTGCTTACCCGATCGTTTGCAAACGAGACCTGCAGCAAGCGTCCACCCAAGCGTCGTCGATTCATAGCTAATTTAGCTTGATTGGCATCCTATAAAATAATCATTAACTCCGTCAAGCAGCTATAGTCGTCGTTCGAGTGTTTCATTCAAATTCACAAAAGACAGTTGATGTCTACCTCGGCTCGTTCAAAATCAAGGAATGCAAATCCTCTAGGCTGCCCCTTCTTGATACCACTCTTATGCCACATGAATTCCAGCTATATTTGGACAGGATCATGGTATTAGCACAAAAACTATTCCGAACAGACAGACCAATGCTTTGCGGTCCAAACCTTTGTTATCTTGCCATATGGTTCAAAGAGCTTCTTTAGAGCATATTCAGTGACTTCAGGAGCTAGATTTCCAATGAATAATTTAGACTCCATAGTAAATGTCTCCAAGTCATACGTCCATATGCGCACTATTACAATTTTGCATTTTGAATGGGAATGTGAAGGTGTGGCTGAAGTCTGGAAACGTGATGATGGGTAGAGATTGTCTGCATAGTTGTAAAAATCAGATATGGACAGATGGCCCTATATTATGTCTCTTACCAACCAAAAACAAGCATGTAGATCATTCTAAAATAATAACGTGACCTATAATATACCTGTTTCTGGCTCTCTGTTAGAGATTCATCACAGCGATAAGCCGCCTCCTGTGATATTAAGGTATTTTGATTGTGCTACTTACTTCTAGCTGGGCAGTCCCTACCAGATTATTGCTGACAACATTCTTTTGTTTTCCAATAAACTTTGCGAACTGAGCAACAACGGCAGCCGCAAGAATGATCAATCCATCAACAACATCAACCAATGTACCCCAATCATTGCCATAAGCACATATGAGCAAACATTCTCAGTTGTCCAACCTTTTGATGATGTTATGCTCAAACCTATATGACAGGACCTGATGACTCGCATTTTGAGAGGAGTGGCAGATGCCCAGAGCACTCAAGCACGAACTTGATTCGTCGAAAATGATGAACCATACTTCAACAATTATAAATTAGGGCATTCCTGAGAACCATTTTTCTGGTAACGCAACTGACCTCTTTGTTTTTTTTGGGTATAAAATACTAAACGCATAATTTCGGACTTCAATTCCTTACTCTTTTTGTTGTACGCATCTGAATTTTGAATGAGGTCAACCACAGCGTCGCTGTTTTCGATTCCCAAGCACACAGCACATCAATGTTAGACCAAACGTGCCTTGATTTGATTCTATATTGAATGAGGATCTATTCATTTGCAAGTCCATATTCCCAAGTGCCCAATGTAATATATGTTTCCGCCACCCCCTTTCAATGCTGTCGTTTAGCAGCAAACTCCTTCATATAAGCCACCAGTCCATCAACTGCAGCCATCGGCAAAGCATTGTACAACGAGGCCCGGATACCACCTACACTACGATGACCTCTCAACTGCACCATCCCCAATTCCTCCGCACCCTTCAAGAACTCTTCTTCAACATCCTTGCTGGGTTTACCATCCTCACCATAAACCCTGAATGGTATATTCATTCTCGATCGGTATTCAGGCTTGACGGGACACATGAATACACCATGAGAAGAGTCGATAGCGTCATACAATTTCCCGGATTTGATATCGTTTGCTGCGTTATAGGTGGCTAGACCACCCTGTTTGACCATATAGTCAAGCACGAGTCCAACCATGTATATGCTGTATGTTGGTGGTGTATTATACAAGGATTTTGAGTCTGCACATGTTTTATAGTCGAGCATAATTGGGCACGGTGATTTTGGAAAATACGATGTTCCAAGCATGTCTTCACGAATGACGACAATCACGACACCAGCTGGTCCGATATTCTTTTGGGCACCTGCGAATATGACTGCATATTTACTGACATCTACAGGTTTTGACAAGGCGTTTGATGACATGTCACAGACTACTGGTATACCGGGTGGGAAGTTCTCGACTATGGTTTCAGGCAGCTCCACACCATGGATTGTTTCATTAGCACAATACCAGATATAGGACGCATCGTCGCTAAACTTCCACGAATCCACAGGTGGCAGGTTTCCATCATGTTTGGTAGCCTTGGTGTTGAACACCACACCAACATCCAGCCCTAATCTCTTTGCTTCCTCTACAGCCTTTTCACCCCAAGCCCCAGTAACTAGATAGTCTGCCTTTCCAGTCTTGGCCAGATTGTACACCATGGCTGAGAATTGGGCAGTAGCACCTCCCTGCATAAACAAGACACGGTAATTGGCAGGTATCTTCCATAATGCTCTGAAATCAGCATCGGCTTTATCATTGATTGCTTCGAATTCGGGAGAGCGGTGAGATAATTCCATGACTGACATTCCTGATCCACCATAATCTAGCAACTCAGCCTGGGCAATCTCGAGCACAGGTTGTGGGAGTACTGCTGGCCTAAGATTATATATAGAATGATTAGCAAAATGCATCGTATTTGCTCGTTCTGGAATTAAAACACGTCATGTCTAAACGTACCCAGCTGAAAAGTTGAACGTCTGTTGTCGTTTGGTCATTTTAGATGTGGATGGCGAGGCGATAACAAGACTGATGCGGTAGTTCCACTGCTATAGGAATACGGTACTATCTGGAGGCGCTTTACTTGAAGCGACTGCCTGTTATGTGTACGTGCTTTAAAAGAAACTTTTTTGTTTGTTGACAAGCGAATTTGAAGAAACCAACCAACAAGAGACGAAAGCCACGCGTTCCAGGAGGAGAATATCGACAGTATCCGTAGTCCCTAGTTGTTAGCGCCTTGAAAGAATCTTCGAAGTTCATAATCATCGACGCGTCAAAAGCCCATACACACTCAACAGCGAGCGTAACAGCTACTCCATTGCAACAGTTACAATATTTTGTATTCATAAGTCGCCTGCCGACTTCTGCCGTTGCTTATGCTCTATATAGGCGATTTTGTCTGTTGAATACCAAAAACAACATCAAAGGATCGGGCTGTTCCTTCTCTCTACCTCGTCTACATTTTAACTTCCTCACCATCGTTCCTACGTATCTGGCCCATCTATATACACCTGCTTATCAACGTCCTTTAGCAACATCATCTCACTGTCCACCTCAACATTATGAGTTTCGAGAAGTTCTCCAAATTGCTCCCAGAAGACCGTGTACCTGTCATATTCCTCGACACCGGACAGGGCATCTAGTAGAGTTCCACTAGCTTCAAACGTAGTTCGATGGGAAGGAACTATCCAGAGTCTCGACGAGTTCCTTGGCCGATTCGTTGCTCCTTCTGCGATGATGTTTGCGGATACTTTTCTAAATTTTGGTGCTAGCCTTAACGTTTCCAGAGACACCATGGTGGATACGAGATCAATAAACACCCAATCAGGAATATCAAAGTTATCCAAAGTCAACGTTTGAAGTTTAGAGCAGCATTTGACTATCATGCTGACATCAAATATGTCGTCCGTGTATGCGGAGAGTCGAAGATATTTCAACTGGCTTCCTTTTGTGGTCAAGTAGTGTTCGAGTCCACCTCGGTTTGCATCTGCAACTGACATATTTATAGAGCTCAGCCTATTAAATTCGAGATGGAATACGGAGCGATCTAGGTGTACTGTTAGATCTTGTGGGATACGAGGCCCCTCATTGAAGAGATCGTTCCAAACGTCGTTTCCAGGAAGGGGATGGACCAGTTTCAGCTCTTTCAAGGTTTTGTGATTTGATTCTAGAAGACTACAGATATATCTAGGTATCGGGCTTGATCCGTCAATGAATAGAGCTCGAAGTTGACCTTTGGTTTGTTCCGCTCCATCCACAGGACAATCCTTCATTATAACATTTGTCAGAGACAGGTCATGCAAGCTTTTATAGGCAGATAATGACTGATCAGCGGCGTCACTTATATCAACTGAATCCAGATTCAGCTTTATCAGCGATCCTTTGCTGCTGACTTGTAGGGCCTTCATAAGCTGACTACCATCTAGATGTACTATATGGCGCCCTAACGTCTCTTTGGCTCTTATGGTCTGAAATGTTTCAAGACATTGCTTCTCAATGAATGCCGTTACTGCACCATTGCATTTCCGTTCGACTGACATTATTATACGCAATCTTTTTATGGATGGCGATTTGGCAGCAAATTCAGCGAATTCGTGCGAGTCGAATGTTGCAATGGGAAGGGTTATATCGGTAATAGTTTTTGGAAAGAAACGTGCGAGTGACTGAAGAAGATTCGAAGCCCCATGGAATTTTATACAAGTAGCTTGGTTGCAAACCTTTACTAACTGCTCGGCCTTGTCCTTTATCCTTTCTGAGATTTCTGTCTCGACAGCTGGTGGCATCCCACTCATAATATTCTGAGCTTGGGGGGCAACTTGTTTGCGGAAAAGTCGGTACCAACACCATCGCAGCCTTTCGAGTTCCAAAATCCGCACATTGGCGAAGACATTCTGACTGAATCCTGCGGCTGGTTTTTCTATCCTTTCCAATAATATGAGGATACATTCGCCTGCTGCCTGTTTCAAAAGTTCTTGAGTGAGCTTCGGTTATCTAAGCAGCGCTTGTTTAAAAGCTACTCACATGACTGATTTCACGGTACAAATACTTGACTGCAAGGGCATTCATTTCTTTGCAAGTCCTGGCAAGTGTTCCTCTTGAACTTCTGGAAGCATTTGATAGAATGATGTCCCACACCTTGTAGCGAAGATGAGGCTCTACTTGAGAAGAATTTGTCTTTGAACTACGTTCAATAGTATTTTTCCGTACTGCATTTGGTAAATTACCTTCAACAATGACTTCATTTAGCGAAGGATTCATAATTTCCAGAGTTGATGTCGGCGATTGCTTGTAAGCTGACAGAGCGTGAAACCGTCAATAAAAAACGCTCCATCGTGACGAGCACGGAGAAACTTACGTAGATTCTTCTGTTGATAGGTGACCATTAGCTTGAATGTTCATCGTGAACTTCCAAACTAGAATCGACGAGGTTGACAACAACAGGGAAGGTACACTTTGAGCACGGTATTGATTGAGATACAGCTGATGACCTTGTTTGAAGAGAAATCCTCAAACATTGAAAAGTGGTTTTGGTCTGTGTGTTTGCAGTGACTTTGGCCAGCTACATCGTTAGTAAGCTTGCTCCCTCACCGCCATGCTGTCTGGTAGATACAGCTTCATAGCATACTATTATTTTGAGAAAGTGCTTGACGTTCGAGTCGATGCACAAAGGTAGGTGTTTGGTATGATGAACTGTTTCAGTCTCTGTTGCAATAAGCCCCGCCTACCCGTGTGATCTCAAGCAACACGAACAAACCAACAATTGCTGTCACAGCAAATACTCTATATATTACCCTTCTCCCTTCTACTGTTGTATAATAAATTTGACATCAAAAACATTAAGCTTCCTCGTCATTTATATCTGACTCTTGTGTAAGCAGAGGTATCGCTGACGATGACGCCAACGGCACTACGGCACGCCCATGACTCAACCCATTCAAATTTACATTATCATCCTTCTCATCCTCAGCAGCGGTTATAGCATCACCACCCATGGGTATCGCAGTTTTCTGTGTATCCGTTTCGGTAGCACCAGTGGTATATTCGGGAACAGATGAATATCCATTAGACTGTAATGGCCCCATCTCAATATCAACTATAGAGTCACCACCACCAGTCAGAGTTCTCGATACTCCTCCTGTACTCAGTAGTAACTCTGCAGTGGCTTCATCTACTCCCAATTCACGTTCATATAATCGTTTCAGGTCCGCAGGCATCAGATCATAGGCCAATTCACCCATTTGGGAAGCATCCATTCCCTCGTCCTCCTCTTTGTCAGTGGCTCTTAGGTGGCAGCCAGGTATCTTGTTTAGTATATATAATATAGAGTATGAGATAATAAACGACCATGCTCCAGTAACTATGATTTTCAGTATTTGATATCCTAACTGTGCACCACGTCCCGATATCGCTCCTCCCAATGTTGCAGATGGAGTATTCATCGCTACAACCCAAGAATCAGCAAATAATCCAGTACATAGAGATCCTACCACTCCTCCTACAAAGTGGATCGACCATGTATCGAGTGCATCGTCTACCCATCCATGCCCAAAGTTTTTGACTGAGCATGACATGTTGACGAGCACTCCAGCTAGCGCGCCTGTAAGTGCTCCAGCCCACGGAGACATATTTCCAGCTCCAGCTGATATAGCTACGAGTCCTGCCACAGAACCAGAACAGTATCCCAGTGACGAGAATTGTCCAGAGAAAACATAATCAAATAGACTCCATGAGAGACCTCCAGCTATTGCAAATGAAATGGTTTTAACGACAGGAAGTCAAAGATTGCGAGAACGTCCAAAAACACACCTGATCCGGCGATGGCTACGAGCGCACAAGCTTCAGCAGCCCTTGCAGAAGCATCGTGCGTTCTCCCACCAACAAAACCAAACCATCCAAAGAAGATCAGAGTAAATCCCAGAAAGACTTGGACCAGATGATGTGGCTAGTGGTAAGGAACATGCTGTCAAATAACGAGAAGCCTTGTTGGACGCAGGAATTCAAGCAGTCTTCACCATCATAGGATAGTCTCCATTAGCGTGATCAGGATGCGGTTTCCTCTTGCCAATAATCAGTGCATAAGCCAAACCAGCCATTCCAGCCGCTATATGCACAGTCGATGACCCAGCAAAATCTATGACCCCAGTACCGTTAAACGTCTTGAGCCACCCCTGTGATCCATTAAGCCAGTGCGCTAGTGGATCATATACCAGAGTCGTGTATAAGACTATAAATATCATCATCGGTGGTAACCTAAATCGTTCAGCGATTGCTCCAAATATAAAGGTTGGAGCTACTGCAGCAAAGACAAGCTCGTAGAGCGCGAAGGTTATAGATGGTATAGCAGGAGCAGTCGATACAAGAGCCCATGACCCGAGATTTGCGAATCCAGCATGAGCGAAATCACCAATAAAGCTGTTTCCAGATTCGGAGAATGTCAAACTGAAGCCGAAACAGACCCACTGTATTGCGACTATCGAGAATGCCACCCCACATGCAAATGTCATGGTTAGAGCATTCTTGGCTCTCGACATTCCAGACCTTTTTGGACATAAACCGGTTTCGTGGTGAGTGTCAAAAGACATTGAGTGTTCTGATCTGACGGCAACGGTGGTTACCAAAAGAGGGCGACGCCGACTGCAACCAAGAAAGTGAATGCAGGAGCAAAAGTCATGAAGCCCAAACTGCCTGTATCTGTTGGGAATCTATGTACGTGGGCAGTGTCAGGCTCAAGTCCTAGTCCGATGATAAGAGAAAACAATGTCGACCGTACCTATTAGTAGGCGATGCCCATTTCGCAATTATCTTTCCAAGAGCAGCATCTTGACTTGTAGCCATGAACGGTTTGACCAAACTGGGTTCTGACTCTAAGCGACCGGGGACAGGGGTTTTGTGTGGGTTAAAACCAGCTTGTATAGTGGAAACGCAAGAACTAGGCCGGGCAGATGGAACGAAATTGGTACGAGATCCGGGACTTGCCTTTCAGTTCTGTATGTACAAACAATGTGGTTGGAATGGGTAATGTGTAAGTTGAAGAAAAGTTGGGAGCAATCCGGCAGCAACACCCCAAAGTTTGACGAGTGCGGAAACGCGTCGATACGCGTGCTAGTATGTGATTTACATATTAAAACATCTCGAATATACTAGCGACCAGTAGTTGAAACCCCTCTTTTTTCTGCCTTTGCTCCCAACTTTTAAGAAAAGACATGTTATAAACCACGCACATCAGGATGAAGATGGCGCCGTCAAGAGCACTACGTAGCGCTATAATCCGTCTATTCAGCCGTGATGCCCGTACAATCACAGCGTCGCTATGCTCATCCTGTAATCATCAAGCAAGACGAAGCATCAATATTCTTCCAGACCCTCCTCAAAATGCATTGGACAAAACCGCTTTGGATCCTATAACCGCCATGAATTCGCGTGGATTGATTGCCGAAGTGTCATCGTAAGTGATGTGTACAACATTGGTTTGACATTTGAGGGAGCTTGGACTTGCCAAAAACATATTGAACCAGTACAGTTAACACTGGTTTGTTAATTCAGACGAGACGCACCCAGGGCGCTAGTCAAGAATCCAACTGCTGCTTATGCTGGATTTGACCCTACAGCTTCATCGCTACACGTTGGAAATCTTATGTTGATTCTCTCGTTAATCCATTTTCAGCTGTTGGGCCATCAACCTATTGCTTTGGTAAAAGGGTTAAGTCTGTCATCGAGTACACGCATCGTGATTTTTTATCTCTGCCATTCGTACATAGGTCGGTGGTGCAACGGGCAGTATTGGAGACCCATCCTTTCGATCAACAGAACGTACAGTGATGCAACACGACACAGTACACACCAACACGGCCAAAATCACAGCACAATTACAATCCATATTCGAGAAATCACAATTATATCTGAATCGACGGGCTTTGGATAAAGGGTGGTTTCAACTCCCTCCGGATGGAATGAAGCCTGTCAAAGTGCTGAATAATTTGGACTGGTTTAAGGATATGAAGCTGCTCGAGTTCTTGGGATTTGCTGGTAGACAGGCTCGTATATCCACCATGTTGGCTCGTGATAGGTGAGCATCCATCGGAGAAAGTTTTCCAGTAGCTTTTTTTGTCAGTCATATTTCAGTACTCAAAACTGTCCTTATAGTGTGAAATCGCGACTGCAGTCTCAAACAGGCCTATCATTCACAGAGTTCACCTACCAGCTCCTACAAGCATACGATTTTTTATATCTCAACACAAACCATTCTTGTACAGTGCAACTGGGCGGTACTGATCAATGGGGAAACATCACTGCTGGAGTAGATATGATTCGGAAACGAAATTTAGATGTGCCTGAAGCCGAGAGAAGCAATATTCCAGCTTTTCGACGAAAAGTGTATGGTATTGTGGTTCCACTGGTTGTGAATAGTCAGGGAGAAAAGTTTGGGAAGAGTGCTGGGAATGCCATGTGGTTGGATTCAGAGATGTTGTCTCCGTTTGATTTCTTTCAGGTGTGTTTTCAGCAAGAGAGCATTTTCTCCTAGAGTGCTTCTCGCAGGTTGGATTCTTCTCTCACACCCAATTCTTTATCGTTTGATAGTTCTTCAAGAAAACAGCGGATGCAGATGTAGAAAAGTATCTCAAATACTTTACATTCGTGCCATTGCCACTCATTCAGCAGGTCATGGAAGAACATCAGGTAGGCACGAAAAAGGAACTTGGAAAATGTGGATGCGAATCTCATCGACTCTTTCACCTAGTCATCACCATCAAAGCAAATCCCACAACGAATTTTGGCGTCAGAAGTCACAGAGTTGGTTCATGGAGGTAACAAAAGGACAAAAGCAAATGTTGCCCAAAGAAATTAGCTGTTAACTTTGTATCCTCTCTGTCACAGAAGAGGAATCTCGAAAAGCAATCATCATGACAGACGTCCTCTACGACTCTACCGAAAAGTACAAACCCGCCGAAATAATATCTGCCTTCCAATCCTCTCCACACTTTACATCGCTACCATACGATCAAGTCGTCGGTAAATCAATCATTGACGTAGCTGTGGCTACAGGTGCCTTACCAACAAAGAAGGGTACCAGGAGATGTATAGCTGAGAATGCACTGTCATTGGGGTTTCGTAAAATCACTACCCCTGAACATATTGTCTCGGTCGACGACACGATGGAGGGCAAGTTGATCTTGTTGCGTGTTGGGAAGCCAAAGTATCGGGTTGTGGAACTTGTTTCGTAACTTATTACATAGAAAAGGTTGCATTTGTATTGGTTGAAATATATAGAATTATAACGTTGTAAAGGACTACATGTATCTCTCTCTCTCATCTCAAAACCATATCACTACTTGCTGGTAGTTGCAGCAACGACTGCAGCAGCAGCCTTCTTCTTATCTTCTTCACCGGCAGTTCCAGCCTTCCTCTTCTTCTTGAGCTGCTTTTTCAACATTCGTGCTTTGGCATTCGCTGCACCTTCTTTAGCTTGCGATTTCAATATGGTGAGCTTGTTGCTAACCGTCACTTTGGCTGCTAGTTGTACTTCAGCCTTGGCTACCACCGATGCTGTCAGTTTCTATTAGAAAAACGTTTGACTCTATGTTTTTTTTGGTTGCGATGTTCAAGTAAACGACGGGGACGACGGGAGAGAATAGCATACCCTCTTGAGCTCCTTTTGCTTGTTTCCAAGTGTGTTCTTCTTGGTCACTTTACTACCTACCACAGTGCCAAAGCTGCGTTAGATCACTTTTCTTATACAAAACATCAGGCTTGATTATGAACTGTGCTTACTTTTGGCAACTGGAACAGCCTTTCGCTGCGTATGACTTGGACCAGATGTCGATGATTTGCTTTTGATTAGTCCCTGTGCCATCTTGCCTGCTGTATTGCTTGGATTTTACAGAAGTCAGAAATCACAGGGTTGAACATCACCAAAGTTTCAAAGGCTCAAATGACGGCGTATCGAGAAGCGAGAGTAAATGTAAACTGCGCAATGAAATCATTTAGAAACGCGTCGCGCTCAAATTTCTAATTTCTATCAAATAAACGAGGCAGTTGTTTGTTGACACCAAACAAAATTTGGGGCAGTGCAACATAGGAAATTTGTCCGACAATAATTATAAAGATGGCCAGTAAGCCAGCAAGACTATGTTTAGTGAGGTTGAGGTTGCGGCAGCTCATTATGTAGTATTATCCAATCGAATCCATCACGATGTAGCAGCGTGACAAGTTTCAAGTTTCTGAAGTAGGCTCACATTAGCACGTTCCAAGAGGGTCCAAGTTTTTATAGACAAACTCCCCGAAATCAGCCTTTGGAGGAGAATCTGTTTTGCTACCACGTCGACTGGGAGTACCTGAATTCGATCCAGATGGATCATTGCATAAGGGAGTTCGCTGTGTGGTGGGTGATGGTGGTAGTGATGCTGTTGAGGTATTTAGACTTGACGGATGTTCGGTAGTAGCATGATGATATTCAGCACTGGTAACTTTGGGCGTTTCAGAGCTTTTGTCTTCAGACATGGGTTCTGCACCCCGACCATCAAAGCAATCGGTAGACTCGTCGTCCTTGAGCTTTGGCACGAAGCTGGGCTCTACAGATGCCAATTCGTCCCAGTGTACATCACTAAAGAAGGGATGATACTTGACCTCTTGTGCTCCACCTCGACTTCCAAGACGTTGCTTAAACTCAGTGCAGAGCAACTTCTCCATTAGATCTCTGGCATCAGAGGAAACATCTGTCTCGTCTTCGGGCCAGTCAATCATCCCAGTCTCAATGCTTTTGAAAAGCTCTTCAACGGTATCGCCGTCAAACGGCGTAAAGCCATACAGAAATTCATACAAGATTACACCCAATGCCGACTAGATGAGAGAAAAATGATTTAGTTTCAGAGATAGCTGGCGAACCAAGGGAATTGAAAAGAGACAAAACATACCCAGTCACTGGCTGGATCAACCACATCATTGATAATCTCTGGTGCCACATAATCAGGGGTCTCAGCAAACTTCGAGGAGGACATGCTCATAGCACTAGCTATAGATGGTTGACGGAAATGGGTTCGCAGATGGGATGACGGCGATGTTACAAATGCGGGTGGTGATAAAGCGGCGGCTGCATTCCATGGACTACTTGTTGGACTCGTTGGTGTATGAGGGGGACAAGCGTCGAAGAGAAGATGGTATAGCCTGTAAGTTACGTTTCCTTATGGGCATATTTCCAGTAGATCCATTACTAGTATCCGACGAATCAGCCAGAGGTACCAACATTGGTTGTGACGAAGCACATCGCGACTGGTTGTTATTATGATGATCTTGTCCAACCAACGAGACATTCGGTATGTTTGCATTTGAAGTAGGTTGATTTGGCGAATTATCTGTGATTGTGGTGGAGATTGGCTTGGAAAATAGCATGGATGACTTCTGCTTTTCATCTAAATGTTTGGTACAGATTTTTGATGTCAGAATGGAGTTCATGAAAGAAACGCAACGAGCTTCAGCAGGACCTACCATAATGCTTCCAGTATACTGAAGAATGAACGACTTGACTACGAACGATAGGCTAATGTAGAATCGTTTGTCAGTAAATCGTGTTGCGTGTTTTCAACCATTTATTCGAATTCGAGGAGTGGTTTACTTACTACTAGAACAGGATGCGGTCCCAGAGTGGCATGATGCGGCCTAAAGGCATGGGTGCGTTCCAAATGATGCTTGAGGGCAAGTTTGTATTGTTTGTTCGATATTCAAAAGCTGCTGAGAAAACAAAAAAAAAAAGGATCGCAAAGTCTGGGACTGCCAGACCTAACCCCTCGAAAGGGAATGACATCCATTATATCTAACACACTAGAATCATTTGCCTATTGAATTGCTCGCCTTGCACAAGAAATACGCAAAAGCAAACAAAAGTCACGTTATTTCTCAATAGATAATATATATGCTACTTGGTTCATTTTCAGGTTTACATGAGACCTCTTCTATAATACAAGATGCGACAATATCGTTATACAGGCTGTGGTTGAGTGCTCTGGGCATCTGCCACTGCTCTCAAAATGCGAGTCACCATGTCTTTTGATACAGGTTTCGGCATAACATCATCAAAGAGTTGGACTACTGAAAATGTTTGCTCATATGCCGTTATGGCAATGATTGGGGTATATTGGTTGATGTTGTTGATGGATTTGATCATTCTTGTAGCTGTTTCTCCATCGACTAAAAGACAAAACAAGCGCAATCAGAGGAGCTTAATATTAAGAAGTCGAAACAATTCACCAACCTATAGGCATACGGATATCCATAAAGATGACATCAAACTTGACATCACCCATAGCACATCGAATGGCTTCAGCTCCATTTCGGACTACTACGACTCGACAATTCAGCCTTACGAGCATAGTCTCCAATATTTTACAAATCATAGGATTATCATCCACCACCAATATATCCATAGGCCTTGCACCTTCAGGTACAGAATCACGACGTGCAAGGAGTAGCGCGTCCGTTCGACTTTGAGCACGACTATGACCTCGATTACCGGACCTACTACGAGCTTGCTGTTGTAACAGTAACTGCTGCTTTGCTGTTTGTAAATGCTGCTCTGGACTATACGATCCCAATGACACCGTGGTACTACCTGTAGCAGCTGCATTACTTGGTCCACTCAGTGTCCTGAGACGTGATGGCAAGGAATTACGACGAGCCATAGTGTGTTCGTCCAGCAACTTTTGACGTGGTCTGAAGGATTCAGGAAACATAAGTCCTCCATCATTCGTTGGGCTAGTTGGCTCTACCATGAGTGTGGGCGTTGTGGCCTCGTTACTCGACACGGATGATTGCCGTTCACGATATGATCCTCCACCACTACTGCTACCGCTGTTATGTGGCACTGCTATAGGTGCGGGAAGACCTGCCAATGACGCTAAAGTACCGCGTCCAGACTCAGACCATGGAGCTCCACTAGCCACTGTGCTATTACGAGATCGAGCTTCTTTTGCTCGATCAGTTGAAAGCGACGAAGAGCTACCAGCAGCGAGACCAGACTGAAGTTTCTTTACAATGACAGCATTCGCTCTCTCCAACAAGGGCAAGTTTTTGTATACAAACTCTCCGAAATCAGCATTCGGAGGAGAATCTGGTTTGCTATTACGTCGACTGGGAGTACCTGCATTCGATCCAGATGGATTATTCCATATGGGAGTTTGCTGTGTGGTGGGTGATGTTGGTACGGATGCTGTTGGCGTATTTAGACATGACGGATTTTCGGTTGGTATACCACCTTTCTGACTCTCAGTTGGACTTATAGGTGCATCATTCTCTTCTTCGTCGGGGAAGCTCTTTCTTGCTCCGCGAGTATCAAAATACTCGGTATCTTCTTCGTCTTTGACCTTTGGCACGAAACTCGGCTCTACAGATGCCAATTCATCCCAGTGTATATCACTGAAGAAGGGATGATTCTTGACTTCCCGTGCACCACCTCGAGTTCCAAAGCGTTGATTAAAGTCAGTACACAGCAACTTTTCCATCAGATCTCTGGCCTCTGGAGAGATGTCTATCTCATCTTCATGCCAGTCAATGTTTCTACTCAGTATGTTTTCAAACACCTTGGACGGTGTTTCAGCATGAAAGGGCGGGAATCCATACAGAAACTCATACAATATCACACCAACAGCCCACTACAACAAGAAGATTTCAGTAAGTGTTCGCTCACAATCCAACAATCAAGGAACAGCTTGAAATTACCCAATCTACGCTGGCTTGTCCTATATCTGCAATACTTTCTGGTGCTATATAATCAGGCGTTCCGACAAAGAGCTTCTCGCTAGGCACTTCTTCTATGGGTGGTATTGTTGGTGCTATCGTCGGTGCATTGCTCGGTGTAAGGGTTGGTATTAGCGAAGCAGGAACTGACGTGGCTGCTAAAAAGGGCGGTGTTGTCGGTGGCAGTGTTACACCATCAGTAGAGAGCGTGCTCATAGTACTAGCTATAGATGATCGACGGGAATGGGTTCGTAGATGGGATGATGGCGATGTTAAAAATGATGGTGGTGATAAAGCGGCTGCTGCAGTCCATGGATTACTTGTTAGATTTGTTGGTGTATGAGGTGGTTTATCTAATAGAGCTGGTAATCCACCAATTGCAATTGGTGAAGTAGCCGATTGACTTGATGGCGATGCTGATTGCGAAGGCTTCTCCCACACTCCAGGTGCTGTTCGCCCGCGAAATCCAGCTCTGGAAAGACCAAAATCTGTCAATTTTATATGACCGTTGTGATCAATCAACAGATTGTCAGGTTTGAGATCACTGTTATGATTGAGATTCAGTAAGACCTTTTTCGCTTCCAAACCATTCACAATTCAATGAGCGTACCGATGAATAATACCACGATCATGAAGATATTCCAAAGCCAAGACTAGCTCAGCAATGTATCCTTTAGCCCACTTTTCATCCAATTGGCCAACAGCTTTGATTAAAGCTGCACAATCACCACCATTCAGGTATTCCATTACCAAATATAAATTTTCCTTGGTTTGGAACGAAAAATAGAGTTTAACGACATATGGAGAGTCCAATTGAGTCAAAATCATGCGCTCAGCCTACAAGACATATGGATTTAGATTATTTTGATGACCATGACAGACACAGACGTACCTTTATATTTGTGACTTGATTCTTCGCCACCATATCATTTTTTCTCAAGACCTTAACGGCGAAGTATTCACCAGTCAATCTGCGTTTGGCTAAATACACAGACCCAAACGCTCCTTTCGATATGGGCTTAATGATTTCGAAATCTTTAATCGAAGGAGTAGACCTTTGCAATTGAGCTGTAGCAATGGTAGGAGTAGTGATGCTGACAGGAGAAGTGGGCGACGATATACTGTTGACGCTATTTGAATCTTGACTCTCAAGTTTGTCTCCTGGACGATGACTTGTTAGCGACACATCACTACCTCCAACACCACCATCTTTAGACGCCGCTAAATCTGCCAAAGACTGAAACTCTTGAGCTTTGCCAAGGGGAACAGCTTTGGCAGCATCTGAAGTATCAAATCTTGACAATGAAGACTGACGTGGTGAGCCCGGAGGTGTTGCACGGACTGACGCCCGTCTTTCTCGTGACTTGTCTCGACCCCACAAGGAGTTGAAGAAGTGCTTGAACTTAGATATGGGTGGACTATTACGTGTTCAGGGAACAAATGAGTGAGAAATGTGAACTCAATTACTTAAATTTTAAGAGATTGTAATTACCCTCCAAAGAGAGGAGTAGCAGATGGCTCTCCTTCCGATCTTTTGTCATCCGTTACACCCTTTCTATCCAGTCTACCACGACCAGGTCTGTCTGCAGACGTAGCGTTTTCGTCTCGCAGAGCCCTGTTACCCTTCTTGCGAGTCAGTTTGGGGCCAACATCAGTTTCAACTGTTCCTGGACTTTGCTTATCTGGTAGAATACTATTTACAGGAGGTGAACCAGGCTCTGAAGCAGGCGATGATACCACCTTCATGCCACCACCAACCGGAATGGTGTCTGGTGACACAGTATCGATACTAATCGGATTCTCAAGCCCGAGCCTGAGCGCTTCTTCTTTGGCAGCCGACTCTATATATCGTACCAAGGCCTCCTTCATGATTTCACAGTGACTTCCCTTATCATTTACGAGTCTTGCCACTACCAAACACAATTGTAAAGCACCCATTCCGAGTGTTTCCAATTCTGGATCTACGTTTTTGGGAGGACCATGTGTACTTATATGAGGAGACGATGGCTCGGACGCAGAGGGTGTCGATGTGCCGGAGGGAGGATAAAATTCCTTTTCATTCGGTGACCTCCATTGAGCCAATTTTCGAGCACGGGTGGCATAGTCTGATTCAGCGTCTAGTATAACGGATGGACTTGGTGGACTGCTGCCTGGTAAAGGTGTCAATGGTGAGATCGTTGACGCTGTCATATGTGAGAGTCGCTGAGAGCTGCTTCGTCGATGATTGCCATGTAAGGCATCATCTCCATCATCCTCAGGCATAGGTAGCAAGATGGCTTCTTCTAATATACCCAGTATATCACGCAAGATGAGTGTCAGTCGTCCTACATACATTCTAGCTACATCATCTAAATCATCGAGTTGTTCCTTGAGATTCTCGTATCGCTCTGCGACTTGACGACGAGTTTCGCGAAGCTCATCGTTCATCAGAACAATGGCTTGTTCCGTTCGATGCACGTCCCCACATACTGCAGTGTGATCTTCAAAGAGCACTGCAGGGATGGTACGTTCACATATATTACAGCAGACCACAATAATCTCTGGCTCTGCAGCTTCTGTTGGTGGCGTAGCAAGCGATGTCGAAGGCTCATTTGCTTCGTCTCCCACATTATTCGTCACGACCATTCTATCACCTTCTGAAGGAGTTGTTTCTAATTCATTACTTTGATTCAAATCTTCTTCTGTATCACCATCTGTTTCATCTTCACTAATATCACCATCGTCTTCGTCGTCAGAGCACTCCTCATCACTGGCTCGTGCGGTATCTATATCTTCCCAACCTTCACCAATAAGTTGAACAGGCCGTGTGATCCATATTGTCGATCGGGCTTTACCAGTAGCTCGATCGTATATAGCAATACCTTTACCCTCCATCTGTACCCATCTACCGTCTTTTATTCTAGCACGGTATCGAATCTCAGAACCAATCTGTCCACTGGAAGGCATGCTTGCAGCAGATGATTGCGGTATAAAGGTTGCTAAGAGGCCATCTGTTGCCTCCTTGAATGTGAGAGCATCGGGTCCATTCTCTGGCAAGAATGCAGGGTGCTTTCCTACTAGTTCTGAAGCATCAAATCCAAATACATGACTGACTATGGGAGATATATACAGTATGGAGCCATCTGGTGCTATTTCCATGAGGACATTTAGACTCTGTCCTTCATCAGCTGCAGCCCGTAATTCAGTCAACGACCAGTCGTGTTGCATCTGAGAACGCAATGGATCAGCTAATGGTGATGGTGGCGGTCGAGGAGGTCGAGTCGGCAGTGGAGGTGTTCCTGGTCCGGATTCAACAGGTGCAGCAATACCACCAGCAGCAGTAGCGACATGTGTTCTCCTTCGCCTGCGACCACGTCTCAAAGGAGGGCTTCGGGTTCCTTCAGCACCACTCTCACTTATACTGCCACTGGCACTACCTTCGTCATCTGTTCCGGCCAGAGAGCTGGCGGTAGAAGCACGTCGTTCAAAAACCCGGTCAACGACAGATTGCCTTTGAGATGAAGGCAAAGATGAGCCTTCCTGTCCAGTAGATCTGTTGTTACTATTGATATTATTATTATTGTTGCTGCCATTACGATTACTACCGTTGTTGCTGTTGGCGTTGGAATGATGAGCGGAAATAGCAGCTACGCGGCTCGATACGGCAGCAGTCCAAGACCGTTCATCTTCTTCTAAATGTTCGACCAACGAAACAACAGTTCCGAAAGCCAAAAGGATTCTACCGACTGCTCCTTTGAATGGCCAATCTTGATTGATTGTCCATTGATGCTGCAAGGTAAACAATGTGTTGAGAATGTTATGACATGCTCCAAGTTCTAATAGTTGAGAGCCATCTGTTTCTAATATACTCTGTCCAACCGCAGTGAGCTCGGACATGGCTGCTTCAAGTAGGGATGGAGGCGCATCTTCATCTACCGATCCAAACGACTCTGGCACACTACGATTGCTAGCTAAAGAATATCGACCTTGTTGAGATGGTGCTCTTGGTGGTCGAGGTGATCTCGGTGATTGCGGAACACTGTCCGCTTTATCCTTTGCGATGGCGGTAGCGTTGCCCGATAAAACATTGGTCGACTGCGTGTTACGAGGAAGAGAGTCAGTGCCAGAGCTACTGGTTTCTGATAGTGTAGACGCCACCGACATTCGATGTTGGAGTGGCATATGATGTATATCTGACGTCCTTCGTGATGAGTCAGTATACGACATCCTCTTACTTCCAGTCATGAGATCACCAGGAGCGGCTGCTTCAAATCTTTCCTGTAGTTGCCTTTCTACATGTTCATGTAATTCGGCAATGACTCTAGATACTTCTGCGTCACATGTACCTTTGACTACATTAAGTTGGTTTCTCAGCTGTTCATAGCTCTTCAAGAAATCATCTAAATTACTATCCGACAAGGACCTATTCAGCTCTCGTGGCCGACTATCCGATGTTTGGGAATTGGATCCAGATGTCGATGAAGTAAATGGAGTATTAGCACTAATTGAAGGTGACATTCCTACATTTGGACTGTTTTCCAAACCTATGCCTATCCCTGTAGTGACATGTAAAGGTCGATTCGTTCGTCCTGGCCGAGTATATTTAGGATCAGGTTTCGTTGTAAAGCTTTGCCCACGTGATATTGACGAAGATGCAGATGATTCTCGTTCAGAATCATACTCGTCCTCATCATCGTCATCCAGCTGAAAGAATGGACTTGGACTCCTAAAGTCCATAGCAGTGGGCTGAAATACTGGTGAATCAAATATACTACTAGGCCGACTACCACTATTACTATGATGTGCGTTTCCAGGACTGGGGCGTATAGAAGATGTAGGAATATCAAATCCATCATGGAATGAGGGCCATATGGCCACCATGTCCAATTGTGCCCACCTATGATTTTTGGCTTGACGTGCCTTTTCTACCAGACCAGTAAATATTTGATAATCTGTGTGGCTCATACTATATTGCGTTTGCATTGACTCCATCGTTGGCACTGCAGCAACATTGCTCGATTTTGGCCTGGGCGAAAATGTTGCATCTGGTACTGCTGATGCCGTCCGCATGCGTCTTGCTCGTGAGTCAGCTAAATGAACACAACGGGCATATTAGAAGACGTAGACTAGACGAAGAGCAGTGCTGTCTACACTCCAAAACAACCATAACTCACCAAGATTGTTGGGCAAGGACGAGGGCGGTAAAGATGAAGGATTCGGGTTCACAGGTGACGTAAGCAACGCTAATGAGTTACCTGGCCTACGATCAGTACTTGGACGCTGGACGGGAGTGACTGATGTACGTTTCTTGGTGACTTTAGATGTTGCAGGCGATGACAAGCCAAGTGACACACGATGCTGTGACGTTGGCGAGGGTGATCGAGCCTCTCTTGGCTGAGACCATCTAACATCTGGAGCTGAAGTGGATAAAAAGTATAAATGTCGTGGTTCGGCAGGTGTAGGATGCTCATATCTTAATGATGCTGAAGGACCTATTAAAGAGGGTATAGCTGACTTTTCCATCCATGGAGTCATGGGTACAGGTGAAGTACCCCATCGTTTAAACAATTCTTCAGTTTCTTCTGGATTTGGCATATAATAACTATGTCGTTGAGGAGTCGTGCTACCAAATTGAGGTGATGCCTCTGATCGTGCTGCACTACTCCATCCTGATTCTGTCAATATAGAAGCTCTTCTTCGTTGTCCAGCAACTCGTAAGTTCGCATTCGGTGGTGAACTGAGAGTATTAGGTGACGTTGGGATTCCCATTTCGGAGCCATCAGAATCTGATGCTGATGACCTGGATAGTTTACGTAGAGGTAGATGTGACGGGACTGCTATTGGTTTTACAGATGGAGGGCCAAATCCTGATGGTGGTAGAGCACCTGGCTGTTGTTGTTGCGAATACATTGGGGCAGATCCAATTGCGGATGAAGCATTACCCACAGACTCGATAGCGTCATTATCAGAGAAGCTGCGCGACAAGCGTCGAAGAGAAGATGGTATAGCCTGTAAGTTACGTTTCCTTATGGGTATATTTCCAGTAGATCCATTACTAGTATCCGAAGAATCAGCCAGAGGTACCAACATTGGTTGTGACGAAGCATATGGCGACTGGTTGTGATTATGGTCTTGTCCAAGCATCGAGACATTGGGTATATTTATATTTGAGGGAGGCTGATTTGGTGAGGTAGTCTGTGGTTGTAGTGGAGATTGACTTGACGCAGATCCTGGCGAATCGGAGGCTCGAATGCCAGGTAGTAGTGTTGTTGCTTCCGGTCTTTGACCCAGAGAGTTGGCCGAACTAGCAGCTGCAGGATTGAGTGGCGATGGGCGTCTCTCATTTTTGGATCTGGTCTTGTCGACAGGCAATCGAGGTGGGATTGAAGAATCATTTGATTCACTCATCCCTTGGAATTTTGATCAACAATTAGTTTGCTAGTTTCATGGGCGATTGAACCGATAAGAGCAGGAATGCATGCGAATTCCAGTTACCTCAGATGATCCAATCCTCAACTACGTAAGATACAAGTGCCCGAAACACACCAACATCCTAAAGCACGGACAAAGTGAATAAGTTTAGAAAATGCACAGATAGTAAAGGCAATGCTGCAACCATAGTTTCTGTTCATTCACACACCATGAGTAATGGCAGAATGTTTTGAAGGGCAAACGTTCTTTCAAGCACAGCTGTTGTGATTTTGGGCTTGTGTCGCGGAAACCAACTGGGACACGTGAATCGTTACTAAGTGCAAAAAATCAAACAATACCATTTCCTATTTATTTGAACATTTCAGAACTTCGCCACCGTTTTGACGCGTCGAAAGCTTTTGGTTTTACAGTTTGGTTAAGTGCTTATCAAAGCACGACACTCACAACCAAAAGGAAAACAACATGGCAGGACAATCCAACGCCACCAACACGTTGGAAGATATGCTTCGTATGGCCGGCATTATTCCTACTAGTAAGATCTGAAATTTTGAAAGGAGCGAACGCCGATTGCTTTGATCTTATCACACCTTTTCTCCATCAGTAATTCCAGAGGGTTGTCGACTTACTGTGCCTTTGCATGTATCATGTGAGATTGAAAGTGAAGTCTTTATGGGTTCCGTTGTTGCTCCAAAAGGTTGGGACCTCGAGACATTTTACCGATTGCTTTCAAGGCAGTAATTGACACAGCATCATCTATACCACTCCCTTAGACGCAGTCAATGCTCCAAAAGTCAAGTGGAATAGTCATCCAACCGAAGACGATTACTATACGTTGGTTATGGTTGACCCAGGTGTTTGACATCGGTGCTTAAGGATCAATTGTTGCTTTGTCACAAACTTTGCAAGCCCAGGACACCAGCAAAAGATAACGATGAAAGAGGGCTCGGAGCTCTTTCTCGTGTTATTTTGTCTTTAACTAGATGCTCCTTCACGCTCAAACCCATCACGAGCTCAATGGCGTCACTGGGCGCTCGTCAACATTCCACGACCTCATCTTGAAAGGGGAGAGATTTTGACTGGTAACAAGTAGAAAGTAAGCACCATTTTCAGATTCTCTTGCATGGTAATGACTCTTGAGCAGACTACAATGGTCCAACACCTCCAAAGAGGGTGGAGACCATCGTTACGTCTTTGTCTTGTATCGACAGCCTGGAAGTGAGCCGATTCATTTCACTGCGCTATCAGATTCTGAAAGAAGCCATTGGACTGCCGAAGACTGGAGAAAGCAAGGTTTCAAATGTCTTGTCTAGCTTCGGCTTTGACTGAGGAGACATCGTCGTTAGTTCTTACAGTTCGCAAATCTGTGGATGTACCTACTTTTTGAGTCATAATGATTGAAATGCTTGACATACTCTGGCATATGCTTTGTTTTTACCCAATATACTTGAAATGAAAAACCAACCTCAACGAGATCAGGTGTCAATTGGTGAATCAGATTTAATAATTTAGCATAGAAACAACAAAGCAGCAGTTAAGTGTGTGTATTACTTTGTCCAACCCAACCTTTCTTGACCTTCCTCTGCCAAATCTCCGGAGGGAGGAACTTCCGTCTTTGATTCATCTCCTATAGGAATCTCGACTTCGGTGCTTGTCTTGCGAGCAACAACACGTACAGTAATATTTGGTGGAGCGGCGACCTCTTTATCAGGAGATTCCGTTAAAGCATCAGTAGCCAAATTTGCATTAAGTCGTTCGGGTCCAATCACTGCAACTATGGTCAGCACTACAGCGAATACACCAACAAGCATTGCTTGCGTCTGCGACAATTACGGTCAGAGGTTAGAGGAGAGAAAATAGTAAAAGACTCCAAATGTTCAAACTCACACGAGCATAGTCGGGTACAGAGTTTCCAGCAGCATTGGTAGTTGGAAACTTCTCGCCAAGAGAGGCTACTATCTGAGGACCTGGTGCTGCTATCAGATTGCCTAGTTGTTCAATTTGAAGGATTGAGTGAGAACATAATTGCGAAATATTCAACAAACGGTGCTCGAAATGGAGCAGCATATCAGAACATACCTATCTGAAAGGCGAGTCCAGGAAACAGACCTCTAAGTGATCCTGTTGGAAGTGATGAGACGTTAGGTATGGTCGTTTTTTGCAGCTAGGCTTGTCATTGCCGCACCTGGAGAGAGCTCCTGCAGCAACGACGGAGTACTACCCGCAGTGCCTAAGTATCATATGAGACAAATTAGACAAATGACGCCAAATAGATTGAGTACAGACAAAGACCAACCTTGTATCATAAATTGCATAAAGAAGACAGAGACTCGAAGGGACATGAGGTCTGTAGAAAACGACCAGGGATACACCATGAGACCAGCACCAATAGCTCCCAGCGCTATCGAATATCGTCTTCCTATTATATTTCCTAAAGAGCCAAGGAACACCCCGCCAACGATAGCTCCAAAACTTCCAATGGCGTTCGTGGCACTTGTTTGACTTGGTGTCAATCCACGTTGAACTTGCAAAAACGTGGGGTACACATCTTGAGATCCATGAGCGAGGAAGCCAATACATGCTACAATCACCATGGAGAAGAGGAATGGCAACTATAAAAAGAGGGCGAATAAGTAATTGTATTGTTGAGCTTGAACTATTGTTACTAGCGTTGTACCCAATGGTGCTTTACAGCGTGTCCGATGTCCTTCAGTAGCGCAGATCCGACAGTCTTCTTGGCACTCTTCTCCCCTCCTTCAACAGTATTGGCTCGTCGTCGAGCATCATGTAGCTTCCACGACTCTGACTCTGGAACAAAGCACCTGATGAAGAGTGTCAAAAGAGCAGGAAACGTAGAAATATAGAAAAGTGGCCTCCATCCTAGAAAACCAACGGCTGAGAATCGAAACCACGGTGGAACGAGTGAAACTTGAAAACTCACCAAGACTGGGAACAATCAAGAAATAAAGTCCAGTAGCACACAGGTTTCCGAAAGAGTAGCCTTGCGCTAATACACCACCGAAAAATCCTCGAGTGCTCACTGGCACAGTTTCGAGCATTAGTGATGAGGACAAACCCCATTCACCACCCATCGCAATCTGGAGTTAGCCAAGTTAGCACTAAACTACCTTCGCCACCGGAGGACGTCTTTCATCGACTTACACCAAAGATGGCTCGAAACACCAAAAACCAGGTAAGATTAGGGGCCAATCCACTGGCTAATTCGAGCACGGCGAACATCAAGACATTCAGCAAAAGCGGTGTCTTTCGTCCCCAACGTTCAGCCATATATCCAAACAGTAGTGCACCAACAGGCCTCATTCCTAGAGTCAGAGTAACAGCGACAAGCACATCACTTGGTTTGCATTGGAATTCAGCAGCTATTTGTGTTGCACTCAGCACCACAGTAAAGTAGTCAATAGCGTCCATAGACCTATGAATGGACGGGTAAGAGATATTATTTATGCGAATTGTACGATCCAAGAGTGAGATTCAAGCGTAGAATGCATTCTATTATGTGCTTTTGGGGCATGATGCAGTCCACGATGTTATTTTAGATCACTCACCATCCAAGAAAACTGATGTTGACAAACACAGAAAAGAAAGGTCAGATCACACTTAACAGTGAATTTCATCGCCAGTTACGTACGCCGCAGTAAAGACCGTCCATTGCCTGTAAAATTAGTTTTTTAGGACGGGCGACAAAACACGAGCACAAACGAGCAATCTTACGTCGTGTTTAAGCTACCGATATCATTGATCGTTTGCCTCCATCCTGACTTATGGGAGGCTCGCGATTCGTCTTGAACGTCTTTGACCTCCATCGTTCACCTTTTCCACGTTTCTCTAGTTTTTTGATGGCCCAAAAGTTTGAAGTCGTCGCTGGAGAGGATTATCCAGCGCCTCAATAAATTTACAAATTAAGCGAAGTGACGCATCCAGTTGGAATGAAAACATGAAAACGCGAGTGACAAACCGACGCATAAACCGTAAAAATATTACGACCACCGTGATCAAGTTCCAATAACTTCTTCTCCGATTCGGCGTGCCAGTAACCTTCAGCCAAGTCCTTTTAAGACTCGGCATTATCGTTAAAGATCATCGGAAAAACTACTCCAAACTCAAAATCCATTTCTGCGTCCAAAGCAGATCACACTTCAAAATAGTTGATAAACTGAAAAAGGAAGCTGCCCGACAAACTTGGAGCGAACTGACAAAGCAACCCAAAACGATCATTCGTATCTTGGCGAATCGGTTTTAACGAATAATTTACCACACAGAAACAAAAACGAGGTTCAGTTTGTCTCCTGCCAACGCAAACTTGCTTGGCCGCTTTCTGCTGAATCTGCTTTAGAATTTTTGACTGGCGTCCTTGGCTTGCGAGGTACAACTCGTACAGTAACGTTTGGAGGAGCCTTCCTCACAGGACCTTCTGTCAAAGCATCAGTGGCCAGATTTGTTCGGGCCCAATGAGTGCAACTATGATCAGGACTACAGCGAACATTCCAACTAGCATTGCTTGAGCCTAAAAAACCATGGTTAGAGGTTGAAGGAAGACAGCGAAGTAATGCGAGTGATCAACCTGGCATAATCAGGGATGTATTTGCCGTCAGAATTGGTGGTCGGAAACTTTTCACCAAGCGCAGCTATTATTTGAAGACCTGGAGCAGAAATCACAGCGCCTAGTTGTTCAATTGGACCATGATTCGAAATGTCAACAACGAACCTCGTAGACATGAAGAAACGTCTTAAAACGTACCCATCTGAAACGCAACTTCAGAAGACAAGCCTCTCAGAGAACCTAATTGATAAAATCAGCCGTTATGCATGTTCATTGTTCTCGTTTCTGGTGTTTGGGGGATCTTATCAATTGCTAATCTGGAGACAATTCCTGCAACAAACTAGGAGTATTACCAGCAGTGCCTATAACATCAAAAGAATACGGAAGGAGTTTGATACAAGATCTGTAACCTAAAGTT